GTTCATACTGATTTGTTTTGGAAGCCATGTTTGAACATTACACGCGAAACCAACGAATAGCGCTGACGCTCCTTGAGGTGAAGGCGTTAGACTAGGGAGCGCCTTTGCGACAGTAATTTAATGAGACCAGGGAAAACACACAACATGAGGCGCTAACTTTTTGGCTCTGGCGTCATAACCCACTTAATTTGGTTTTCAACCCATTCCCCCTACAGCCGACCCCACAGTCCCATTCCAAGGCTTGTCAAGCTCTAAAAGTAGAGCATGCTTTTGGGCGCGTGGGTCGCGGGCCGCTTCTCATAGCTGAGCTTTCCTCAATGGGAAAGTTCCTCTAAGATGGTCAATCCACTACCCCTCAAACCGAAGCTAACCGCTGGGGTTTAACGGGAGATGCAGCCACTAGCCACTATATCTTCACTGTTCTTGGCAAGTGTTTGTTTTCCTTTTTTTCGTTTTTGTTTTGTTTGATTAGGTTCATGTTTAATGGGGTGCTGCAAAAAAAATGCTACCATACCAAGGGTTGTGAAGATAGTAATAGGGAAAACCACACAATTTGTTTTGGGGGTAGCTTCGTGGTTTGACCATCACGGAGTTCCCAATATAAGCCGCTCGGGTCCGAACACCGGGCTCGGAGTGGCCAAACAAAGCGGCGAGATCGATCGCTTATTGTCGCCGCGGAAAAGGTTCAGGAACTTCCCTTGATTTGTCGCCTTACCTCACTTCCTGAGTTCCTGGACTTCATACTTTTTTGGTTTGGACCTGTTTACAACAAGTCCCAAACTTTTTCTGGCCAATCCGCTCAGGAAGTGAGTTACTCATCTTGCTCCAGTCATTAGATATAGGTGTGTCCTTTTTGAAGGGACTCTCCCAAATGGTTGAAACCACCAAAAAGGGGTACCCTGCAAGAAACACCATCATATATATATATATATAATATACCCTCCCAGCAAACCTAGCCACCAGGTCCCCGAAGGATTTGTTTGTCTTCCACGAATCTCCTGGACCTTCTTTGGGGGCCGCTTCCATTCTTCTGCCTTACCCCGCTGGCAAAAGGATCCGGTTCTGGCAGGGGTCCAGGCTGTGTTTCTTTTCGGAGGCTACCCTGGCGATTTGCTCCATGAGTGAATGAATCGAAAGGATGGGAGAGATCGCTTGGATCGGTTTTGGGGTCAAGTAAAAGAAAACGAACTACCTGGACCGGTACCGAATTCTGCGACACTCCAAATTGATTTTCCATTGCACCTACGATGTTGGACTGATTGACCTTTTGCTGCGAGCAAGCTAAACCAGAACAGGACATCAGGCATCCTTTGATCTAGGGTGCCTTCTGCCAAGTTTCGGAGTCCACACCCATTCCTTTTGAATGGTTGGCACTCTTTGAACGTTATTGGCGATTGTTGCCAGTCATTGGCTTTGATTGTTGAGCACGGGCCCTTTTTTTTGACATATCCACTAAACAAGTTGTACGAATGAGGGACGAAGCGCTAAGTTTAGTCAAGTCCAACAAAGTTAAAACCAGTTTTCGCCCGAAGAAAATCCACTTCTCGGCCCAAAGCAAATCGACCTCGCTTTCCTCCTAGTTGATTTGACTTGAGGGAGACATGTCGTCTTTTCCAGACATCGATTTACAACCCGGGTGGTTTTCTTGCTGTGGATGGACGAAATCAATTTCGCACCACTTTGAAACCATGGTTGAAACCATTGCTTGTTGGCATTTACCTGGGAATCGAATCATCATTCCAGGCTTTCTGAACGGTGGTGCAGGATTCTGTCCGTCCACAGTATGTCTACCTTGACCTTGGCCCCTTTTTCCCCGCCGGGGAAAGGTCCGCAGACTCAGGGTCCCATGTTCCTTTTGTTTTCTGGGGGTCCCTTTTGAAGTCAACTACTGTGGATGGACGAAATCCACTTCGCACCACCTAGGAAACCCCGGAAGGATGATTCCACTGTAAATACCAACAAACAGTGGTGTATCATGGTTGCTTAAGTGGTGCAGGATTTCGTCCATCCACAGTAGCAAGAAAAGGTTGGGTCTTGTATGTGTCCTTGTTAAGTTGATTTGGCTGAAAGTCTATGGCCCTCATGATTCATTTACCAAAAGGATGGTGCTTCTTTTGCCCATGATTTGGGTAAAACAATATTGTTTTTGGGATTCGTTATTTTTCCGTCACGTAAAGACATCTGCCCAGATGAGCAGGATCCAACCCTTAATGTGGCATTTTTAGTGGTACAGAGCCTTGCTTGATGGGACCGATGGTTTACGGCCTCTGTGATCGTTTGTGACCATTTTGGTACGAAGTCCCCCAGTAGTGCCCTTTTACCCTTTTTCGGGGGAGGGTTCCCCCACTAAAATAGACTACGGAAAAAAGGGTATCCTTTTTCTAACCTCTCTACTGCAGGACCATTTTGATAGAACCACAAAGCAATGGGTTTTGGACGCCGACCTGAGAAGACCATGTGTGGAATAACCTGGTATGAAGGAATACGCAGGAACAGCTGGCAGAGTATACCCCCTTACAAGGCTTATATCTCAACTTGTTGTTTACCACCTTTAGTGGACTTTCCAAAGTCTAAAATTCCAGAACTCAGGGATAAAAAGACATGAATCTTCCCAAGTGTACGTCCACGGAATGAGATTCGAGAGCCTGGGCTTGTTGCCCGGAAGTCCTACGGGCGAGAAGAACGGTCACGCTCGATCTACGTTCCATACCGTGGACGGTTGCGAAATCTCGCACGAAATGAATCCATGGGAAACCATTGTTAGTGGGCATCAGGCGAATCAAACAAACCCAGGGTAAATGAGAAAAACCCTAGGAGACCAACACGGGGGTTGGTTTTTTGACCAGTTTTTGGTTGGCCTTTTCAAAAAAAACTCGACTCATTTCCAGGGGCCTTGTGCCGCGAGCCTTTCACGGGACTCGACTCCTTGCAGGCCGCGGCCTGCCGCGAGCGGTGGCGAAGGGCGGGGAAGCGAAAAGGGAAAGAAGGGCGCGGCCGCTGGAAGAGGGGCGAAAGAGTTACACCCCCTTGCTCCCCTATAAGAATAATACGTTAATGATATAAATTAATAAGAAAAATAAGAATGATAATAATAATAAGACTAGTAGTAATTTCAGAAAGTGGGTTTCAACATGTCCCTTTCTATTGGCTCCCCTGTGCGAAAGGCTTAAATGGAGTAGGGTAACGGTGTTTTTTGTGTTTCGTTGCAACTGCTAGTGGTTTTTTTTTTACCCGGGTTTTGGGACACCTCACCACAGAAGGGCCCACCCTGGCTAGGCCATTGGAAGAATTGGCAGGCCTTGCCCGGGCCCCTTTCCGAAGGAGGCGTATGGAGAAGGGGCTCCGGCCCCATGGGCTGTCGCCCGTGATGGTCCCCCAGGTCCACGCCGTTTTTCATTGAGACGACGTCCTAGTTGAAAGCTCCAGTTCAAGTTGGAAAACTCGGGTTGAACGGCGTGTTCTGAGATGTTGTACATGAGAGCTGATCGGTAAAGAGCATTCCGTTGAAAAGGACATCCTGCGGTGCTGCGTAAATGTTAATGTGACATAGTATCATTGTTGATTGAGTTATACTTGGAAAACGTAGATCAGGATGGAGTTAATTTCTTACTAAATTCTAGTTCAATTCCGGTTGAATTGAAGCAAGTTCTAGTGAACACGGAATTATATCTAAACTCCAAGTTTAAGTTAAACTTGTAGACAGGAGTTCCTTTCCACAAAATATTCGAACATAGTTTAACACAAGCAAAGCAAGTGCAAACTAGAGACACAGACTTGCATGCCACAAGCACATCACACTAAAGCAGAAATGCAGGGTGGTCTGAATATGAAACACCATCGTCAAGGATAATTACGCCACCAAAGTTATACTAGTAGCCCGACAGGTGATGTTTCAACCTAGGAGGCATGTTCGGAGCTTCTGCGGGTAGCGAGTTCGCGGAGCTCTGCCATTTTCGCCACCCCTTCCCCGCATCACGGGTGAAGAACTGTGATGTTATGAAACCCCTTTTGTTCCCCTGCCCCCCCCAGGCAAGACACACGTAAGGCCCCTTTTTTGGGGCCTGAAACCAGTCGAAGGCAGGGAGGGGAGGGCTTGGACCGTGTGGTCTTTGAGCTTGAGGTGGGTCTTTGTGGTTGATTCACCATCGTGGCAACTGGGCCCAAGCCGCTATTTCCATCGGCCCGGCGACTCCCGGCCTCGGTTTGGCCAGCTGCGCCCCTCGGACAAGAGACCAACTCCGAGTTTCGAACTCCGACTATATACTTTAAAGCGTGGAGTTCTTGGACCTTATGCTTATTCAATTGTGTTTTCCAATCCACTCTCACTGAGAGTGAGAGGGCTTCTGGCAGTTGGCTTGACGAACATCGGCTGAACTTGTTCAAATTGATCGCGTTTCGTTCTGAAACCTGAGGCAGACTACTTGGGCCAAGCAACTTTAAAAGATCACGTTTACTAATAGGGGGTGTTCAATTCCTCTTAAAGGGGGGGTTCAGACCACTATTGGAGGGGAACACCCAGTACCCCCCCACCAGTTATCATAGAACCTGACAGGGGGGTCCTGGTTTTGGATGGTGGGAGGGCAAACAAAACTAAGGGGCAACTAGTTCATGCAAGACCTACACAGTCGCAGGTAGGCGGGGTGTTGCCAAGGTCACCGGGCTGGGTGCTTGGTACCAGATCGATGGGTGGGAAGCCATGGTGAGGTATCAGCCTGGTTGGTAGTTTGCTTCATGTTACTTTTTCCCGGCGCTCGGTTTGTTTCATGGGCCCATGAATTCTAGGATCTGTGGTGGCTTTCAGTTCTCATGGCCGGGTTTGTTGCCTGTCTGGCCCACTGACTAGGATTTGGGGTCCAAACGGCCTGCTGGTGCGTGGAGCGGGTGTGATTTGAACGTCCAGTTCCTTGCGAGTAGGACGGAACCTAAGAGGCGACTGAGGTTGAGGTTTTAAGGGAGCTTTAACTGATGCGATCCACCAGCGAAGGTTCATCAAGTCCGGCATGGAAGAGTCGCTCCCTCAGAGTGCCGTTACGTGCCCCAGTGCTTCCGGCACTGGTAAGGTAACCTTGCCAAAAGGTTAACAGAACCCGTGACGATTTGCTGAGAGCAGATGACAGCCTTCGTCCGCGACGCAGGTATGTTCCCATTTGCTTGAAAAAAATGTGTTTGGAGGTCTTGTTGTTTGCGTCATCTTTGTGTTAACGTGTGTCAATGTCTCGTCATGTTTTGGCTTTATTCTTAGTCCGGCGCACCCCAGTTTTCCGTGTGAGTGGAATATTACGCATAGCCTGCATAGCCTTTGGCCGGGGCCCAGTCAAGCAAATGTGCAGTTTGAGCTGTATGAAACTGGGGTATGTGCCGCCTCGTTCATGTCACGAGTTTTCAGGGGGTGCGCTTTTTTGAGTGTCTCCTGTTCTTTGTCGATTTTAAGCCCTTGCGCCATTTTGCGGGGATCCCGAAGACACATGACAGGTGGACTTCCGCTGGAAATGCTTCGGGGCTCGGAAGTGCCTTCCGGTGAGTCAACATTGCTTGGAGGGCGTCCTTACTCAAAGGCGGTATCACAAAGTTACGTCCATGGGGTAGGTTTGAAGGGCAGCCGGGTGTGTCCTTCTGGGTACCCCTTCTCGGTGGTTGTTCAGGGAAACCAACATGACAATCACGGTTTTTGAGGGAGACTCATATGGATATATGTCTCAAAGGCTCAAAGCCTTACCTGTTGAGGTGGCAAACAAAGTGAGCTTGTTTTCGTGTGATCTCTTCATTGCGTTTTGGGGGGTTCCGATGCCTAGAAGAAGACACGCCGCACAACCATCATTGTCCTTTTCTATTATTTTGGTAGAAAAATCGATGGCGATTCCCGGTTTACCTGGTGGTTTAATCATCTACCAGGGCCACCCATCTATTTCCCCTAAAAGGACGCCAAAAGGACACGCTTATGCGCGCAACTTGACCCTGGCTGGTTTGGCCATAGCTGGGGAAGTGGCCAGGGCGGGAAGCGGTCGCTTGAGGTGGAAGACGGACAGGAAGAACATCTCTGCTGGCAGCTTCAAGTGGCATGCGGATGAGTTCGGGGCCGAGCCATCCAAGCACATAGAATTCGTCCAATGGCGTAAAGCAACACAACCAAAAAGTACCCCAAAAAGCACCTGCACAAGTCTATATACAAATCTAGATATCCAGACGCAAATGCCGAAATCGGTTTCTTTCTGGAAAGGACCGTTTGGTGGCCTTTCTAGTCGGTTTGCAGGGCAGTTTTTTTTTTCCTCCGGCAGACGCAGAGACATGCCAACACCGGGGTCTTCAGCGGATTGTTGAGAAGAATGGTGCTGGAAGAGCATGGGAAATGCACAACCAAAAGCATTGGATGGACTTCCGAGGGCCTCGGGTGTTCTGCGTCCATTTCTTGTCTAGGTCCCCCAGTAGTGCCCTTTTGCATTTTTTTTGGGGGGGAGGGTTCCCCTACTAAAATAGACTACAGAAAAAAGGGTACCCTTACTCTAACCTCTCTACTGGAGGACCTAGTTGTTATTCAACTCTTGGGGTCAGATAACCTCTAGTTGGTGCTTTGGATTGTTTTGAATTTGGACTTGAACCCCTGCTTCCTGTAGATGGGAAAATCACCCCTTGACCAAACCGCGAATCCAAATCACCAAATAGGGGAAAGCTGATGGAATGCACCCTGGCACTTTGTTTGCTGGCCATTCATATTCCATTTCCTCCCTTTTTCAGCTTTAGACAATTTCTTCAAGGGAATGAACTGTCCGCGCGGCTGCTTTCGCCTGGGGCGCTCTTGTCGGCCATTTCCGGAAGACTTTACACGTGGAAATGGCATCAGTTCAGACTGGCGAGGCTCCACAGTGGTTTGTGCTTTGAGTGTGCTTTGGGCTTTGCATTTCAGCCAGGGATTGGTTTGGTACCCTTTGCTCCTTCCATTTGCTTAAGATTATGACTCGCCCCTGCTGGTTTCGAAGGGAATCTATCGCTACTGGAACATGCATTTGTTTTTCCAGGGGGCATAAGCAAAAGGAGTTTCAGGTTACGCAGACGGAGGTCATTTTGGGTGGCTGACCTGATCCGCTCGAGGTTCTACTCCCGCGGCAGCAACAAGCCATCGTCTCAAGAGGGTATACGGCTCACTTGCAGACGGCCATGGCTCCCCGTTCTATTGAGACTCCTCCAGTCTGCCTTTATGAGCTTTTGACCTTTTGGTTTTCCAATGTTGCATGGTTGTTGTTGGGAAACATTTTGCATTTAGCGGGAAATCCCAACTTAACTGCTAAAATTTGAATTTTTGATCCCCTTCCAACGTCAACCAAGGTTTGGTCGATTGTGAGAAAAGGAGTCAACAGGTTAACCTTTCATTCTTGGGTCCTTTGGGCAACTGAGATGGTCATCGGTGTATTAGACGGTTTGATAAACTCACTTGCCCAAAGCGAATCGACCAGATCTGACCTTTTGGTTCATTTTGAGTCATGGTTGCAACACGTGACTACCTGTTTTTTTCTCCTCTGGTGCCCAAGGATCAACTGAGTGAAGAAAGTTCTTGAGTTGGGGATCCCTTGTTTCAGTGTTTGACAATATGCAGATTTCCTGTGCTGCAATCGCATAATGAGAACCGATGAGCCAACCTTGGGTGTGGTTGCTGTTTGAGGGGTGTACTCCCTCACCCCTTTTTTTATGCGGAGCACCGAAGGAAACCAACTATTTCCGGGAGGCTCTTGAGTTTGCGAAGCTTTGTACGGCGAGCTTACGAAGCTTCACCCATGAACATTCCTTTCTTGGGGGTTCCTCAAGTCTGGTGATACTCATCTCCTACTCCAAATCCCACCTTTAAACCTGTTTTGGGGCACTTCTGGGCGACTACTTTGGGGGCCCGAACCGTTGAAACTGCATTTCCCCAGAAATTTGGAGAAGACGGGTTGGGTGTGATGTTTCCCCTCTTGCCACTTGGGCCGTCGGGCTATGTTTTTTTCATGTATGGCAAAGGGGTCAACTGGGCCGGGCACCTGGGGCACATGGAATCCACATTTCGGACCTCAGACTCGGTCTCCTTTTGGGCTTGGAGCATCTGAGTGGCAAGCATCAAGACATGGTAGTTGTTGGGAAACATGGTTTCCATCATTTTTGCGCAAACTGTGGTTTAGTGGTTGAAATCCAAATCCACTGAACTGCTAAAATTTGAGAATCTTTGCTCCCCAAACCCAACGTCAACCAAGAAAAAAGGCCACTGTTTTCAGATCCACGGAAGTGAGTTACCACAGTTAGTTCCACAATTCTGACCAGGTGAGTGCCGGGAGTCTTCGCTTCCAATCAGTTCCGGATGTGTGTTTGCTGAGTCTGAAGAAGTTTTCTTCCAGAACCAAGCGTGGCACTGCACCAGTAACGTATGAGGAGATCCCTCCTATCCAGCTGGGCGCCGGTGAGTGAAAAAGCGGTCAACAATCCTGGCGAACGAGCCCAGCACGTCAGGTTTTCATGCCAACCCCTGGTTGAACCTGGCAGGTCAACAGGAGCATTTCCTCACCAGGGCCTAAAGCGAATCGACCTTTAGAAGCCCATTTGGCTTTCCCTTTCCCATTTTTTAGTGGCCCCAGAATGCGATTGCCTTTTATGTTTGGGTCAGAGGGCAAGTGGGTTTCACAAGAGTAAAGGACCCCCTCTTCAGCGGGACGCACTTTTTGGGCTTCCGATCCAACGCCCGATCTGGCGATCTACTCGCATCACAGGATTCCACGGAGACGATGGGAGGCCGTTGCTTTCGAAAGTTCGAACGTCACCTTCCCTAAGGGTCATGGCCCCTATGCAGATTCCTGGACCCTCCAATGGAGAACTCCGGGCCCTCATCCTCATGGGACCAACCACAACCCATCTTGAGGCCCCAAAATCAATCGGGACCCTTAAAGTTGTCACATTTGGAGGCAGGGTTCCGGAGTGGCCTTGGTTCTGGCACCCGAACCATGCAGAATGCAGAAGGCTATAGTTTCGTCGGAAGGCTCAGTTGTTCAGTTGCACCCTTTTTCTTTGTTTGTTGGCTTCTTTCTTTGTTGGCGCCACTAAAAAGCCCACTTGTTCTAGTTGCACCCTGTTTCTTTGGTTGGCGCCACTCAAGAGCCCCACTTTTTCTGCCAGCGTCTCACTTCCTGAGCTCCTGAACCTCGTTTTTGGCAGCTCCTCATCTTGGCGAATTTCGCGCAAGAAGTTTGGCGACTTTCTCTGGCCAGCCCATTCTATCAGAAGTATTCTATCAGAAGTGAGGGGGCGGTGGCGGACCCATCAGCTGGGTTTTTTTTGCTGGCCAATCCACTCCAGAAGTGAAGAAGTGAGGGGACGGTGGCACCCATCAGCTGGGCAGTGGTTTACTTGGTGGTTCAATCATCTACCAGGGAAGCCCATCTATTTCCCCTAAAAAGACACCTATGGGCAGACGTGTGTGTGTGTGTGTCCTCTCATTTTTCTCGCTGCCCAGGCCGAAACATATGTACTCTCCTGACTGGTTGGCCATTGAGACAAAGGCTCACCAGGAGAAGTCGCGCCGGAGACCCAGGGGTTGCGGGAGAGCTGAGGATTTGGAGCGAGCCAGCCGTTCCTCAGTTGTTTGGTGCTTTCATGGTGACAGGTGTTTTGTCTTGTTGTTTGATTCTTGGGCTACTGGACGGGTTTTCTTTGCCCGTCCAGTGATGACTTGTTTTTTTTTTTTTAGGTGGCAGCAGTTGAGGGGGCAAAATTACACCATGGTGCTTTCCCGTTAAACGAAAAGAACAGTTGCAAGGAGGCTATTTTGTTTTAAGATTCCACTTTACAGGAGCCAGTGTTCCCCAATTGTTCATTGTTCTCATGGCATGGTATTTAACTTTGTCGCTATATTTGTGGGTTTCTTTTGCATCAGGGTCAACAGACAAGCTGTCCCGCATTATGTGCCCAAGTGGAACAGGACCGCCCTTATATATGTGTAAATTGATTTTTCTGAGTACATGAAACTGCCTGGTGGTTGTGAAGACTGATGGCGGAATTGTCATTAAAACCTTGTTGAAAGCAATTGTTCGCTGTGCTCCCCACTCGTTACGTTCCCGGTTTGAAAGGACCAACTTGTCCCTTTGTAGCGAGCAAAAGGCCGGCTTTAGGTACCTTCAAAAGATATGCTTTTGAGTGTGGCTGTCGAGGGTGAAATTGGCCAATCTGCGGCGGGCGCCGTTGCTAGCCTTCCACTTCCTCCCTGAGTGCCTGGCCTTGTGGCCCACTCGATCGGATCTGAGAACGTCTTGAAATAGAAGACGAAGCAGTTAAGATCTGCCATAGAACCCCCGGTTGGTTTTTGAATCTATCCACTACTGGAAATTCTGATTCGCTGTTTGTTTGTGTTGCCAGGGACACATTGGTATTCGCAAATGGAGGCTTGCCGCTTCAAGGAAGAACAACAACACGAACGGCCAGTCCCGTGGCGTCCCTTGGTTCGTTCAGTCTTTGGCAAGCAGACTGATCGAATGTTTTGACAGGGCGAGTCTCCGGTCATCGGGGGAGCCATCATCACAGCATGAAAAAAAATCGGATCCACGCGAGACGCGAGCCAGGTGGGGGCACCATGTCTATTCGGATCAACCCGCTGGAAGGAAGCGGCCCGCCCGTTTGCCCGCGCATATGTCCACACATATATACAAGTGTATATATATATATATAAATTGATATGTATATATATATATATATGTATTAGTATAATCAGGGGGGTGGGCGCCTGGTTCTGACTTGGGGTGGGATAGACTTCAGATAACGGGACCTTCATGTCGACCCCGGAAGCAAGCTGGCAGATGAACATGGGTGCAGGATTGGGTAAAACGGGACACCCCAGCTAGGTCAAACTGAAGTTTATGAAGGAAGGCAACGTCGGGATTGTCTCAAACAGGGGAACCCCCAAGATGATAAGGTCCCTTTTGGCGTCCCTTTAAACCGACCCAAGCAGGGTACCCTCAAAAGGACACACTCTTTCTGCATTTGTTGTGTGTTTTATTTGTTTTTCTCCAGGTTTTCGCTGCTTAAGAGTCGGGTTTGGGTAGCTAAAAAAAGGCCTTTTGCCCAGGTGTTCGTTGCTGTGGTGGCTATTGACAAATTGACCCACCATGTTTGCTTTGGTCGTGCGATTTCCTCTGTTCGTGTTTGGCACCCTTTGGATGGGTTTAATGTTGGTTGAGGGTGGGTTTAGGGATGTTTAGGGCCTCTGTCTCTCTCCCAAATCAAGGATGCGAATGGCCACCAACACATGGCTTATTGCAGTCAGTTGCGCTGGAAGCCCTTGCAAGTTGGCGAAGTCCTTGAATGCCATGCAGATGGCACTTTGCTCATCCTGCATGCCACCATTGGCGTAAAGAGAGTGCTTCCAGTTTGCACAAGCAGCCACTCCTGTTCAGCATGAGTGACCAGGGTGGCATCAACAGACTTGCCTTGGACTATACATGCAGTACCATTTGGACTGCCCCCTACTTGTGCAGGTCGACATGTACCACCGTGCTTGGAACGACGTCGAGGACTCTTTGCGCAAACAACACCGGACAAAAGCTAAACAACAGCTAATATTGCATGAGAACAGCAACACAAAACAGCCAACAAAACCAGAGAAAGTCCAACCACATATCAATCAAGCAGCTAGATAAGATCAAACAAAATCTCCGCCCGGCAAAAACAGAAAGCCCGGGTGATATCCCCAACAGCTTCGCAACTCCCCGAATCCTCCGGAACCCTGCTCATTTTGCCTATCAACCCCATAGCTTTTTCAGCTGTTGGAGAAAAACAAAGCAGGTTCAGCTGCTGGGGCAACAAGGGAGATCCTCCCAGCCCTGAGGGAGTGACCCTTATAAACCATCCAACTGGTGGTTGAAGGGTCCCGCATTCCCTACTTATCGCACCAGCAAGAACAAGAAACCATTCCGAATCCCTATCGACCTCATAGTATGTTCGGCTGTTGGCAAGATCCCAAAAACTCCTTGAACACATGGCATACCGTGCTTCCAGTCACCACAACAGTAGCTTATCAGAAAAAAAAGGAGAAGAAAAAAAAAGACGTGGACAATTACCAGAGACCTTCCGACACACCAACCGAAACGCCAATCCCTGATGGTTAAGCAACGTGGAACAACCAAAGACCTTCCGACGAAACCGACCAAAACGCCACTCCCTGATCAGTTTCCCACGGCCCAGCGGCCAGGGCCGCCCTCCCCGAAGCCGGACTTCGGCTTCTTCCCCGGCACCGCGGAGGCGGACGGCACCCTCCGCCCCAAGCGCGGCGCCCCAGGGCGCCGGAAAGGCCGGAAGACGCGGGCCGGAAAACGCGTGTGTGTTGGGTTGTTTCTTTTTTCTCCGAGGTTTCCTTGTTTTTTTTATTCGTGTTCTTTTTGTTTTTCTGTCGGTGGTTCCTCTACTTCTTCTTTTTTGTGTTGTTTTATTTTTCGTTCTGGTTTTCCTTTTGTGCTTGTTTTTGTTAACTTGCTTTTTTGGTTTTCCGGGCGTGGGAGCTGCTTCCTGTTAAAGAAACAATTTGTTCCGCCCACAAAGCAAGAAGAGTGCCCTCTTGTTTTGGCAGCTGTTTCGTTGGAAATTTTGGCTTTAACCCTTTGGGACAGGATGATTCCTTCCTCAGAAGGCACAAAAAACTCTTCTGCACAGGACCGTTGAGGGTTGCGCGAAACATGTTGGAGCCATTTGCCGCCCTCACTTCCCGAGTTTCTGGTTGCTTCATACTTTTTGGGAAGGGCATGTTGTGGCGAAGAAACAGCTCAGACTGTCTTTGGGCCATCCACTCGGTGAGTTATTTGAACAACAACCCCTGGTCTCCTTGAAAGGGACGCCACCTGTTTGAAAATGTTTGAACAAGGGGTTTCTCTGCCAGCGGTTTGATACAGCAGCCTTGTCAGCCAGCATTGGTTGAGTCTCATTAGCTGGGTGGGTTACAAGTGAACAGGAGACAAACAACAAAACGCGGAAATGAGAATGAAACCACCATGCGCGGGTAATCAGAACACTGGTGCAACTCCCCTTGACCCATCCCCCACACTTTGTCTTCTTTTCTGATTTTCTTCGCATTTCTTCCTTCTTTCTTTCTGTTTTTCTTCCTTCCTGTTTAACCTCCCTCGATGGGGATGTTGTTTTCTACTTTTTCAGCGCAACCAGCTGTTCAAGCGACCGTGTTTTCTGCCGTACCTTTTTTTTTTGCTGGTGCGACAAGTAGGGAATGTGGGCATGAACTGTTTTGGGGGTCCCCTTAAAGGAAACCACCAGCAAGGGATGGTTTGTCTCGGGGTCATTCCATGTCTCATTGTTTTACTGAACACCAGAAACAACAAAAATCACATTTTGCAGGTTTTACCAATCTTTTAAGCCACACCCGCATTGCGGCCTCCAGCTTTTTGTGGGTTTTCTCGGCGTGGCAGAACGAAGTCCGAGGTCGCCTACTGCCATGGAGCTGGGCTGGTCGGGCTTGTGTCTTGGATGCATTTGGGGGGTACGGTCATGTTGTGTGATACTAGGTCCCTACCCTACTAAAATAGACTACAGGAAAAAGTTGGTACCCTCTCTACTGGAGGACCTAGGATAAGAAGTCCCTTGTTACTGAGTCTCGCTAATTTCTTAGTTTTACGGTTAAGAAATCTAAGGTTTTCCGAGACTCTGGGTGACACACTGAACGACCGTACCCCGATTTTGGGGCGGGTTTCCTAAAAGGGGCACAAAAGGAGAACCGAAATATCCAGCTCGGGGGGAAAGGGGGGCGTCTTTTGAAAGACGCGCCCAGGAAAAAAATCGTTTCGAAGTGCCAAAGGTGGGGTCCTGTTTTTCCTTTGGAGGGATCTAGGGCCTCTCATCGCCGAAGTTTCTAAGGACTTCTTGTGCCTTGGGGGGTAGGTGTTCCCCCTACTTACCCGGGTGGAATAGAAGTCGGTTCGTCTCGACATCGAAACCCTTTGCGGAAAGCTGGAATGCGCTTCTTTCGCACCGCCGACTTGCGACTCTTCATCCCCAAGCTCCACACATTTCCGCAGGATATGGGCGATGCATTTGCCATATGGCACCACGAATGCCAATGACCGGCCCTTTAAAGGCTCTGTAGCTAGTCCCAGGCTCCTTAGCATGTTGGACGAAGCTTGGAGTCATGACCCACACAACCTGGAGTCTCCATGATCATGTAAAAAATGGGGTCATGACCCCCTTATTTTGAGTAACGACCCCGATTTTAAAGGGCCATGGACACCGCACGAAGTTTCAGGGAAGTCCAGATGGGATCTATGTAGCAAGTGGGAGGTTTCGAAGCACCGGCAAGTAGTTCTCATTGTGCCAGACCTCCAGTCTCGACCTTTTTCGTTTCTCTTCAAAGCCAACTACCCAAAAAAGAAGGTGCGCTAGTTGCCCATGACCACTGGGGATTTGTGGTCGTTTTGCTTGCATTTGGAGCCAACCATTTGAGGTTTGCATTGAAATTCTGTCCAGCTATCCCTCACTTCTCGAGTTGCTGGACGCATCCCTATTCCGAGGTTACCCCTTACGGGGGCCCTAGCCCTTTTTTTTACGGGATTTATTGCAGGGGTTCAGAGGCCTTCAGGAAGCTTAAGGAGGCAAGTTGTGAGAGATGAAAGTGGGCCATGTTCCGGGTTAACACCCCGCCAGGTCTGGGACGCAGCCCTTGGCGAACACGTTGAACAAGAAGAGGCAGGTTCTGGTCATGTTTTGCACTGTCATACGTTTATGTTTACAGTATGTCTGTGGCCTTACCCCTCAAAAATCCAACCTTGAAATTCCAAATTTCAGGGCACCCGGGTCGTCCAAATAGTTGACCTTGTTATTTTCCCAGCGATTGGGAGGAGACAATGGTCTTATGATCCATGTTTTTATTTGGGCGTAGCTGTCACAGTCTGGCATTTGAAGCTACACATTGAACAATTGTCTAAAGGGTATCCAGCAACCAGGAACTCAGGGAGTGAGCCGTAGTGGGTACCCAGGCCACGAATCAAATCCGCCTGCCAAACCAGCACCCCCAAGGAAAATGTCGGGGATATCACCCCTATAATATACAAATTGTATATGATTATGTTATATACATGATCATCACCATCATCATCGTCGTCATCGTCGGCATCATCATCGTCATCATCATCGTCATTATCGTCATCCTCATCATCGTCATTATCGTCATCCTCATCATCATCGTCATCATCGTCATCATCGTCATCTTCATCGCCATCATCGTCATCATCGTCATCATCATCGTCATCATTGTCATCATCGTCAGCAGCATCGTCATCATCGTCATCATCATCGTCATCATCGTCGTCATCGTCGTCATTATCGTCATCCTCATCATCGTCGTCATCATCGTCATCATCATTGTCATCATCGTCATCATCATCGTCATCATCGTCATCATCGTCATCGTCATCATCATCGTCATCATTGTCATCATCGTCATCATCATCGTCATCATCGTCATCATCATCGTCATCATCCTCATCATCGTCATCATCGTCATCATCCTCATCATCGTCATCATCATCGTCATCATCGTCATCATCGTTATGATCGTACGTCATTATCATCGTCATCATCGTCATCATCGTCATCATCATCGTCTCCTCCTCATCATCATCGTCATCATCGCCATCATCGTCATCATCATCGTCGTCATCATCGTTATGATCGTACGTCATTATCGTCATCATCATCGTCATCATCGTCATCATCATCATCGTCATCATCGTTATGATCGTACGTCATTGTCGTCATCATCCTCATCATTGTCATCATCCTCTTCATCGTCATCATCATCGTCATCATCGTCATCATCGTTATGATCGTACGTCATTATCATGCTCATCATCATCGTCATCATCGTCATCATCGTCATCGTCATCATCGTCATCATCGTCATCATCGTTGTGATCGTACGTCATTATCGTGATCATCCTCATCATCGTCGTCATCGTCATCATCATCGTCATCATCATCGCCATCATCGTCATCATGATCATCATCGTCATCATCGTTATGATCGTACGTCATTATCGTCATCATCCTCATCATCATCGTCATCATCGTCATCATCGTCATCGTCATCATCGTTATGATCGTACGTCATTATTGTCATCATCCTCATCATCATCGTCATCATCGTCATCATCATCATCGTCATCATCGTTATGATCGTACGTCATTATCGTCATCATCCTCATCATCATCGTCATCATCGTCATCATCATCATCATCGTCATCATCGTTATGATCGTACGTCATTATCGTCATCATCCTCATCATCATCGTCATCATCGTCATCATCATCATCGTCATCATCGTTATGATTGTACGTCATTGTCGTCATCATCCTCATCATCATCGTCATCATCGTCATCATCATCATCGTCATCATCGTTATGATCGTACGTCATTATCGTCATCATCCTCATCATCATCGTCATCATCGTCATCATCATCATTGTCATCATCGTTATGATCGTACGTCATTATCGTCATCATCCTCATCATCATCGTCATCATCGTCATCATCATCATCGTCATCATCGTTATGATCGTACGTCATTATCGTCATCATCCTCATCATCATCGTCATCATCGTTATGATCGTACGTCATTATCGTCATCATCCTCATCATCATCGTCATCATCGTCATCATCATCATCGTCATCATCGTGATGATCGTACGTCATTATCGTCATCATCCTCATCATCATCGTCATCATCGTCATCATCGTCGTCATCATCGTCGTCATCATCGTCGTCATCACCATCATCGTCGTCATCATCATCATCGTCATCATCGTTATGATCGTCAGTCATCATCGTCATCATCCTCATCATCGTCGTCATCATCGTCGTCATCATCGTCGTCATCATCGTCGTCATCATCGTCGTCATCACCATCGTCACCACCACAATCATCACCAGCCACGACAAGTAACAAGCAACATCAAGGCTCAGGAGCGTTCCCTCGAGTCCACTGGCCTCCAGCCAGGCCCAGCACCGCCATGGGCACCATGTCCCTGGGCCGTTCCTTGGACTTCTCGGACCCGAGCCGAGCCGAGCCGAGTCGCGGGCCCGCGGGGGAAGGGAACCCCCGGATCCTCCCGGACTCGACGTGTTACGGCCCGGGGTGCGAACGAATGAGAACCTCGGACTTTTTTGGTGGAATTTTGAGAGATGGTCGTGGATTCACTTTTGGCTTCCCTGTAAAAACCACAAGAAAAGGGGGTACCCTATAGATCTGAGCAACGACAACATAGATGTTGAAGCTTCAAGGCCTTCGTTCACACCCGGTCCTCACCTGAAATGAAAAAACTGTTGGCTTCCCCCTGTCCCTGTTTAGGCCTCCATTTCGCACCCAGTCAGCCCAGCCGCTTCTATTTTCTATTTTTTCAATATTTCATGGTTGTTGTTGGGGACACTTTTGACATTTTTGCTGGTTGTGGTTTAGCGGGAAATCCCAACTTAACTGCTAAAATTTAATTTGTGTTCTCCCCTTCCAACGTCAACCAAGAATTGTTGTAGTTTGCTAATGTTGGAACATGTGGAAACATGGCTTGTGTGAGAAATGCTTGACCAAAATGGCATGTGCCATTTGGCTCAAGCTCGGGCCAACTGGTCTAAGATTTTATTTGTTGTGTGTTAAAAAAGAGCTTCACTTCCGCGCGGCGGGTTGCAGGACTCGCCCAAGTCACCAGCACGGCCTATGACCAGCCTTCCGGGCCGGAGCCCAAGCCGTTTGGCCCAATGAATTGGGGGAGCGGACAGAGATTCCTGCTGCTCCCTATGTAGCCTATGGACCCATGTTGTAACCCTATGTCGTACCCCTATGTTGTATTCGAATTGTAACCTATGTTCTTTGCTCCCTTCTCCCCCGGATTCTCTGGACTGTGCTTGGGTCCTTTTTTGTGTGCCATTTTGTCGGGGGGGTTGATTCCGAACAGAAGACGAGCCCGACTCGGGAAGCTTGGGCTTTGTTTTGATTGCCAATCCACATGGGGGTAGACCTTAGGGGCAAATCCTTTCGCTATATTTGTTAGGGACGTGGACCTTAAGGGAGGCACCGCTTGGTTTCCAAGGGAAAAAAAGAGGGTGATTTAAACATGGGCTACACCAAGGTTGCCGGAAGCAACTGTCCCAGATGTTTTTATCAAGCAAAGGGGCGGGGGGGGTCCGTTTTATTAGGCCTGCACCGGATCTCACCCTGAATTTGTGGTTTGCAGTGGTTTGGGATCTGAATCCCTTCTTGCAAAGGGATGGGGAACTGCCCTCTGACCTCCAAACCACCAATGACTTTATGGCTATTTGGCTTGCCCGGCACCCAGATCTTTGGACTTGACCAACTGTTTGGTTGAAACAACAAGTTGGACCCGGATTTTCCGATTTTTTGGTTGGAACAACTGAGTCCCGGATTGTTCCCGAAGTTTGGACCCCACCAAAGTTTCTCTACCATTTTTCTTGGTGGAGGGTTCCCCCAGGTTCCCCCAACCAAAAAAAACGGTACCAACGTATTCCAAGCTCTCAAATCTGGAGGACCTAGTTGCAGTCGTTTTTGATCCCCACCAGGGTTAATGGTTGATTGGGGGAGGGGGCGAAACCGACCCCTGGAGATCTCCATTTTCTCACTTTGATAACTCCCAGAAGCCCTCAAAATAATTCCGGACAGAAAAAAGCACGCAATCGGCACACATGCGGCGCACAGCGATGCTCCAGTTAAAGGAACCACCAGTTGGATGGTGTAGTTCTGGGGTCATTCCATTTCTGAGCCGGAGCCCATGAACCCAGAAGTAGTCCACTACAAATGGCTGTGGCTCAAAATTCAAGAGCTAGGGTTACGCGGTTTTAGTCTTTGGTTCCATCTACCAAGGTTCCATTTTTGGTACATGTATTTGAGCCTTGAGCCACAGCTAAATGGGGTCGCTCGGACTCCAAAAAGAGCGACGCGAGGCGCGCGCCTGCCGCGGAACCAGAGCCTTCCGGAGTTCCGATCAGCGCCGTCGTCACCCCAGGCATCCGGATCTCGGAAAACCCGTTGCCAGGGCGAGGAGATGGGCGTGTTGTGCTCTTTTGCCCCCATTTGCTGAAATTGTGTTTATTATTATTTTTATTATTTCTTATTGTTATCACTACTATTTTTTCCCCTTGATGGTTCTGAAAGGATTCATCACTACTGGACACATTTGAATTTTTCCCCTGGAACCTTAACCAAATGGAAGTTTGAGGCGACCCTTCTTGGGGCTTAAAACTCACTCCCGTTCAGTTGCATCACTTCCCTGCCCAGTGCTGCAAATTATTTTCCTTTTTTTCGGGAAGGGTTTCCCTTTAAAGTCAAGCCAAGTAATGCCCTTTCTTTCCCATGGCTGGGCATCTGAGACTTTAGCAATCAAACAGTTTGGTTCCTGTTTTGGAGAAGCCCCGACTTTTGGAGCTCCTACTTACATATATCCAATATTTGGCCGCCTCAATGTCTGGGTCTGGGGACTGTCTTTATGCTTGTTGGGAAGGCCGTTTGGTTGCAAACGAACAGGTTGGTACCTGTGTTGCTGTTATTCTGGGAAAACTAGTTTGGCGGCAAGCCAAAAGCTCTGCATTTTTGGCCAATCCCTCATGAGTATTGTCATGTCCCTTGCGAAGTTTCCGTGGGTCTTGGTTGTGTTTGTTTCAATGGCTGTACACATCCCAACCTGACCGAAGAAGCCATCCGCTTCTTATTCACATACTGCATCAAAGCCTAAAGGGGGGGCCGTTGCATGGCTGAGAATGGAGTCAAGAACCATACATGGCCCTACCTTTCCATGGCCACGGGCAGTTTCCACTTTTCCCCTGTTCAAAAACGGGTATACTCAAAAAAGGGCAGGCTCTGGGTCAAGATTAAACCACCAGGAATTGGACCGCGGATTTTAGTCCTTGGTTCCACTAACCGATCGGGCAACCCATTTTGGGTTTACCCTATTTTGGGCCACAGACATATTAATATGACGCCTTCCGGGTGTTGGAAATGAACGAGGGATTCCCTTCAAGGAACCGCCAGTTGGATGACTAGGTCCCCCAATTGGAGTCAGATAGCCCCGAGTTGGTGGTTTGGATTGTTTTGAGTTTGGACTTCAACCCCTGCTTCCTGTAGAAGGGAAATCACCCCTTGAAGGAACCGCCAGTTGGATGGTGTAGTTCTGGGGTCCTTCCATGCCGGAGCCTCGCCAGGGCAACCGGCTCCTACCCCCAAGCTCGCCATTCAGCGCGGCGCCAACGACCGACCGGGATGACGTCGGGCCAAGTTTGATGCCAAGCCTCACTCACTTTCGTCACTTTCTGGGTTTGGACCGTTTTAGTGGTTAGTACCCTTCCACGAACTAAAATGAAACCAACCAACTCAAAACTGGTATGGTAAAAACCCTCGCCCAATTCATTTAGTAGTTCTCTGCCCCCCTTGCCTTCTGGGCAAGGGTTCCCCGTTCAACTCAACCAACCAAAGAAAAGGATGCCGATTCTTTTGTTCCCCCTGGAAATCCACTGGGCATCTGAGTTTTCGGGGTTTGGTGGCCAATGGATTTAGTGTTTTTTTTTCTGACCAATCAACTCAGGCAGCGGGAATCTGAATTCCAGTTACTCCCCAGATGAACATGGGAACACACAAGAAATCTGAGCCATTTGTAGAGGAAGCTCCTTGCGAGGGACCCCCGTTAGTTTGTTGGGGGGGGCCCTACAGATGAACATGGGGATCACAACGAATCCCAGAAGCTCCTTTTTGGGTTCTAGTTAATTTGTGGGGGAGTACCAAATCCGCGTGAAAACTAGGAAACAGTATATGAGTATACTCACTAAAGTGTCGTAGAGCCTGGGGGGGGACGTCAAAAGTGAGCACGGAAAGTTGGATTTTCCACAGCCATCCCATCACCCAAACCCCGCCGCCCAGTGCCTTTGGGACACAGAGGAGGGGGTGCCCCTCCCTTTTAACCAACAAAGAGGTGGCCTATGGCTCCGATGTTGCGCCCACTTTTTGCCCGTTTGGGTAGCCTCTTAGTTGGTTTTCACAAGTGCCACAAATATCCGCGCCCTGAATTTTGATTTTCTTCTTGCCCACTGCCTGAGTTTATGGGCTGTTTAACACGTTTTTGGAAAAATATCAGTTTGGTAAACCACAAGTTTTTTCTAAGAAACCAGCTACAGGAGTTTCTGAAGGAAAACCTTGATTTTGGTTTGTATTTGGCAAACTTCCTGTAGAATTAATTTCCTGTAGCAGGTTTCGGGTCCAGTGCTGGAAGCCGTCCAGTTCAGCACGTTCCCTTGCAGTTCTGTTTGTTGTTTCTTCCCCACGATGGACTCCGGGATCCCTGTAGAAGTCACTTTGGGTCTAATCTTGAGGTCACTCCGAATACCCACTGTGTGAAGGGGATGCCATCCCCTAATTGTAATTGCAAAAAAAGGACTCCCCATTAAAAAAAAAAAAAACGCAGAACAGCAATCACGCCACCCAAAATGAATTCAAGCACACAAGCTGTTCAAATATGTTTTTTTTTTTTTTTTCTGGAAATTATGTTTCCCACCAAACTGCAGAAAGTTGGCCCTTCTACCCGCAAGGAACGCGAAGGGTTCTCAGAACCCCTCGATCAGAAGCCCTAAGTTTTGGTTTGGCTTGGTTTGGAGGTTAGGACGTCGACTCTTAGGACTTATTTTCAAGTTTGGCTTCTACCTGAGAACCGTTCAAATCCCCGCCAATCCACGTTTTAGAGGGAATCCCCCTAATTAATTGGTGGTTTTCCGCCTGTAGGTTTTCCTTCACAACGGCCAAACGAGAAGGTGGTACCAACTGGGTCCCCCACTAAGCCCTTTCACCATTTTTTTTTGGGAGGGTTCCCCTACTAAAATAGACTAAAGAAAAAAGTTAGCACCCTGATTCTAACCTCTCTACTGGAGGACCTAGCCAACTCCAAACCAAAGGCGCCAAAAAAACGGCCACCCATGAACTCCCCTCGGGATCAAAGCCATCCACTGGATTTCCTCCATTTGTTTGAAATGTTTTGTTTTTTTTTGTGTGTTTTTCCCCTTGTTGGTTTCCAAAGGAATTCATCACGACCTGGAGTATCCGTGACCCTTGAAAATGGGGTTATTACCCAAAATAAACGAAATAAAGGGGTCAATGAGCCCATTTTTCAGGGTCATGGAGACTCCAGGTAGTTGAAATCTGTTTTTTTTCCTGGGGCCTTAACCAAATGGACAACCCGGCGGCGTCGGAGTTGCCGAGGCCGGGCCAAGCACGAGGTCACCGACATGCCCATCATCGCCCGATCCATCTCCCAGCCCCTCCATGACCCGCTTGCTTTCACTCGCGAATCGCGAATCGCGGATGGCGAAATGAGTTCAGAGTGCTACGGTTTGATGCCCATGGAAGACCTGGCTTGGTGGTTAATTTGACTCACTTGAGCAAAAGACCCAAAAAATAGAGTCGTGATCACCTCTTCAGGCTATGACCATAGGTGTCCTATTTGGTGAGGTTTTGGTCGAGAAATGGATGGCGATTCCGGGTTTACCTGGTGGTTTCATCATCTACCAGGGCAACCCATCTATTTCCCCTAAAAATACACCTACGTCACAGCGTGTTTTTTGTTGTTGCTGGATACCCCCTGTTATAGTAGGTTTGGAGGTAAACCAGCAGGAAAACCACTCTTTCTTTCTTTTTGAGGGGGGTGTATTTCGTTTTTTGAGGGTACCCCCTTTTTAGCGGGCTTAAAGGGAAACCAAAACCACAAGGAAAACCACTCTTTTTTGTTGTTTTGGAGGCCGCGCCCCCCAAAGAATGAGTGTGTGTGGTTGTTTGGGGAGGCGGGGCCCTTTTTGTTTGGATTGGGATTCGGAAGCTGGCTGTATCACCGCAAGAATTATGTTTTTGTTGTCTGTCTGTTTCTTTGGGTGGTTTGGCAATGGCACAGGATCACCCGCTTCAAGATGGAGCCGGGGGAGACAGACGCGACCCGAACTCCACGGCTTTCCGTTTTTCGGGGAATGCTCGAAAATTGGAGTTGGTGTTGGGGGGTCTCCCCTTCCCCTCAATCGGTCGGGTGAATTCTGCATACTCTTCTCCCTCCAAGTTTTTCGCGCGGAGGAGACGGCGTATGCGCAGCCATCCAGCATGCGGAAGAAGGCACGAGAACCGCCCCGCTGACCGCGCGGCAGCTGCCTTTGTTATGGCGAGCTCACCTGGGGTAAACGAGCTCACCATGTTGACCCCGGAAAAAAAAATGAGCTTATTTAAATTCTATCAGGGGTGTTCTCTTCAAAGAGCAATGCATCGCCACTGAACCAGGGTGTCGACACCCCCTAGCAAAAACTGGGAATTATTTACCCCGAGTTCTCATTGCCTTTTCTTGCGGATTTTGGTTGGGGGGAGTGCCCGCAAAGCTCTGTTCGGTCGACTTCTCGCCTACTTCCGACTTGATCTGAAAACAAGCCTCAGTTCTCCAAACCGAATTGACCTTTTGACCTTTTGGGTGTCCGATCTTGGACCATTTGAAGCCATGGCCCGAAACGGCGATCACCTTTTAACTTTTATGTCCGTGTTTTCTTGGGGCATGTGAGAAGCCTATACAGGCCTTCCCGTGTTTGGCCTGTAGGACTTAAGGTTCCCCAATTTTTGTCAGCCATCGTTCTTGTCAATCGGCGGCTTCCGCGGGGTGGTTTTTGGTTTCCTTAAAATATTTTCGGACCCCTGGGTTCAGAATGGACATGGAAGGCAGCACTACCCCCTACACCCAAGACCCGGCCGTTCTTTCAGGGTATGATTTGTCGACCATCTACTAAGAAAGGTTTGGTATGTACCATGGAAAACCGATCGGCTTTCCATCAAAAATGCCAACTGAAAAAAAAAGCGTTGGTCTTTGGAGTAGGGGGTAGATCTATTGCCCCAGCTGCAGGGCGGCCACTGGTCCAAAACTCGCAGGGCCTGCGCGGATGAGACGAGAGATCGCTGCCATCGAGGCTGAGGCCAGCGATTTTTGGTGCGAGGGGAACCTAGCGACAGGAATCGCAGAGAGATTCATGGCCGGGCTTACAACCATTTGCCTGAGAATATATATGTTTTGTTCTGCCTTGCTGGTTTTAAAGGGAATCTATCACTTCTGGATATGTTTTGTTCTTTTTTCAGGGGGCTTAAGCAAATGGAATCTTAGTGTACAGGTATCTTCTTGGCTTCAAACCACCATTGAAGCAATGGGGGTTTATACAAACACCATTAGTTTCCTTCGGATTGACATCATCCCATTCTTTGTAATGCAGGTTGAACCCCAGGGGTATCTGTTTACGTAAGCTTGTTCCGCCTGCTGGTTTCCAAAACATGTTTCCTGCAACAAGTTGAAAGAAACTGTTTGCAGGGGGGCGAATAGATCCCGTCCTGTTTCGGTCAGAGATTGGATCCTTTCTGGTAGTATCGGATTTGGTTTTGGCAAAGGTCTTGAAGCTCGAGTCCCGTTTTAGACTCACTTCCTGGACCAACCCTGCCTTGCCCCCTGTGGCAGAAAGAAGGAACCGGTCGCGAAGGGATCCCGGTCCGTTTTTTTTGAGTTTGGACCATTCTAGAGACTAAATTAGGTTTGAACTCTTGGCCCATCCACTCAGCGACTCACTTCCTGAGTTCCTGGACTTTAAAACTTTCTGGGAAGACCGGTATATAAACGATTCGGACTTTCATTTGGCCAATCCAGGAAGTGAGAGTATGAAGCAGGCAGTCGGTTGTTGGGTGCTGGGGCGCTCAACTATATATTTCCATGGTGGAGGAGCTTTACTGGGGAATTCCAGTATTTCCTGAAAAACACAAGAAGGAGGCAACACGGTTGCACAGACAGACCGTTGCCACGGATTTGTTGAGCCAAGTTGACAAGTATGCGCAGAGGCTGCGAATCAGGACAGCCTGAGTCCTCAAGGAAAGCCAAGGGGGATGGGTACTGTTCTCTCAATCTGTCTATACCCCCAACGCTCGACAAAGAATCAATACCCTTCAAATTTGAATAACCAATCCAAACCACCCAGAGGGAAGCCGAAGAGGGCCAGAAGAGTGGGGTGACTCGCTGATGTTGGATGAATGAGTGGTCCCTGCTTCAAAAGGGCGGGGGGCAACGTATTCTAGTCTAGAAGTACCCCCCCTTCCAAAATAACATGGAACCCAAACTGGGGGTCCCCCAAAAAAGGAGATTCCGTCTCCAAATTTGTGGCTCCTTCCATCCATTTGCCGGTACCAACCAAAAAAAGTGATCCTGATTTCTGCCATGCCATGGCATAGCCCGCATTGGCCATGTTGGTAGGTGGTTCTACTACCTGGCCTTATGGTGGTTATCGTAAATCCAAATCAAACCTTCATCACTTCCTGAGTTCCTGGACTTTATATGTTTTCCTTTTTGTTTCGGGAAGACAATAATAGTGATAATTAATAAGTTTGGATTTTTGTCGACCCCGTGCACTCAGGAAGTGAGTCTAAACCTTTACCAAGATGCCCTGTTTTCCTTTTTGTGGGAAGGGTTCGCCTTCAAAGTCAACCAACCAGAAAAGGATGCATTTGTTTCCCATGGCCACTGGGCATCTTAGTTTGTAAGCATGTTGCTTCAATAATATTTGTCGTCAACCGCTTTGGGCACTCAAGGGGGATTCCACCTGCCAGGTAGGACGCCATCCGAAAAGCATCCGCAACCGCGTTGGCTCACAGCGACGCCATCCGAAGCAGCCTGAGAGACCGTTTGTGCGCAGGGTCAAACCCATTTGGTTGTCACACCTCTGGGACGAGCCTCGGAGCTCCGGCTTCAACCGGATTATTAGATCTGTCTTTCTCTAATACAATTTTTTATCTAACTTCTTCGTATGAACTTTTCTTATACTGTTCCTTTTCATGCTTAAGCATATCTTCACTGTTCTTGGATCATGTGTTTTGGTTTTTTAGTTTTTTGGTTCTGTTCATTTTTAGCTGGGGGTCTGCAAAAAACAGTCAGTTTTTCGCTACCGGTTGCAAGAGATGATATCATCCGTTTAAAGCTGCGGGTTTCGAACCGTTAACGGATCATCTGGGTTCGGGATCCCATCTCGACGTGAGCAAAGCAGTGGCCGATCACAATTTCTCATCTCGAAGTCCGAGAGCCGGGGCCTCGATCTCCATTTCCCCCGGGGGGTTCAGTGACCCCACCATGAAAACAACGGTCGTGTTAACATAGCCCCTACACCCAATACCCGGCCTTGTTTCAGGGTATCATGTCCACCCTCTACTAAAAAAGGTTTGGTATTTACCATGGAAACCCGATCGGCTTTCCCAAACATACCCTAGCAAAAGTGGGTATTTGGAGTAGGGGGTAACCATCAGTATTCACCTAACACAATCCAAATTGGGTGAATCATTCTTTCTTGGTGGTTCCCAGCCATCCGGTTCCTTATGTTTTGTTTAAAGCTTTTTAGTTGTTTTAGTGGTTGGGTGCTTACTTTTTCCCCACAAGTTGTCGACTTTTGGCAGCGGATATGAGGACAGCCCAGACTTATGGTGACCGATTTTCTCCATGGGAACGCTAGACAAATGGAATTACCCGTGGTTCTTTTGCTTGAGATTAAAATCTGATTTAATATGGGTGCTTGATTTATTTTGAAGCAACCCGAATTTCACTGCGCCTGGGTACCAAGAGAAGCAACTTCTGAAACCACTCATGGGAGGTCCTCAGGTTTGAGACAAGGTGCAATCATCACTGGTCTTCACTGTTCTTGGCATGTTTTTTTTTTTTTTTGTTCTGTTCATTTTTACTGGGGGTCTGCAACAACCAGTCAGTTTTTCGCTACCATACCAACAGTAGAGATGTGTTGGATCATGTCTTTAGTTTGTTTTTTGTTCCTATAGGATTGGCAGCAAAGCATCAGCTTTTTCTGCTTGGACAGTTTGTGTTATGCAAAAGCTTGAACGCCCCAACCGACGGAATCCCCCTCGCCATGGGCTGTTCAAAGGTAATCCGCAAGATCCCCTTCTCGCTTGTGATCGAGTGGATTGGCCAAAATTGGCCAAAAAGAAGTAACCAAATGGGTTTATTTAATTTATTTACCACTAAACTGGTCGAAACCCAAGTGACTAAAGTCCAAACACTCAGGAAGTGAGCCTTGGGTGAAGGAACCGGTTCCATTTTTTTCCCGGCTTCCCTCTTGGGATGACGGAAACTCGGATTGCCCAAGGCTCCGTGTTTGAAGAGACCAGTAGCCCAGTTTGATCCCCCCGCACCCCTCCCTTTGCCCCGCCTTTGCCTCCAGAACCGCTCAGAACCCCAATATGCAAAGCAGAAACCAGATGGGCATATTGGACACCGACCTCATTTTGGGGGCGATCCCTTTTTCTCTAGGTTCCCCAGTAGTGCCCTTTCTCACCCTTTCTTTGGGAGCGTTCTACTACAATAGGCTACAGAAAAAAGTTGGTACCCTTTTTCTAACCTCTCTACTGGAGGACCTAGTTCTGCCCCCTTGTTGTGTGTACTTGGGCAAAAGAAGGGGTCCCTGAAAGTCACGGCGAGCTTGCCTGGCCAACCAGGGTCTCAATTACACCCAACCACCCCTTGCATACCCCTAAGCCTAAAGCGAGTGGGCAGCAATTGGGCGGAGTCTTGAGCCACGGGTAAAGCGTCAAGGGACAGTCACCAGAAGGTGCGGTCATCCGCCCTCTGGTTTTGGGCAGGCTACCTTCAAAAGTGGCGATCGTTTCAAGGGAGTTTCGCCTGGAAGTTGATCAACTGTAGGGGAAATACGAGATTCAGACTCTGCCCCGCGACTCAAATGGCTGTGGGTCAACATCAATGGGATCCCATTTTTGGGGTAGGTGCACCACCCATTTTAGTCTTAGCGGGGATTGGGATGTTCACTGGGGGTACAGGATTCTGCCCCGCGACTCAAATCAGTCTCCGCCAGTCAGGATGGATGCTTCACAAGTGCGGCTGCCCGACAGCCTGCTGCAGGCAAGATGCGTGTGGCTTGCGCGTAGTCGTGTTACCAATCTGTTCCTAGGTCCCCCAGTAGTGCCCTTTTCGTACCCTTATTCTAACCTCCATACTGGAGGACCTAGGAGTTCTGTGCCAAAACGTGGAAACCTCTTATCCAATGAAGCGGCGCTTAAAGCCCTTGGCCATGTTGGGAAGACATTAAATCTTTTGGGTTTGACAATTTTAGAGGTAACATGTTAAAGTTTGGACGATTTTTGGCCAGTCCACTCAGGAAATGAGTCTGTCTCCATTTGGATGTCGAGTTGGAGTAGGGGACCAACTAATCAAGGGAACCACCTTTCAAGAAAATGAAAAAAAAAAACAATGGCTGGTCGCCTGAATTTCACTTCTCGCTTAGTCAACATTCCTCGGGGTGATTCAGTCCCTTGCTTAGCCTATGGAACGAGTTGCGACTCCCCCTCTCTTTCTTACACAGCCGCTCAGTATTGCTGGTTTGCAGTGCAACATGGGTGTTTGTGTTTTGTGACGGGCAAATACACAATGTGGACTCCTTGGCTTTTTAGCTTTTTAGGGTTTAGTGGGGGTTTCCATATGATAAAACGCGCTAAGACTTGTCGTCTTCTGGCAGATCCAAAAACGGACCGCCCGGTTACTTCGTCCAAGAGAAGTCAAAATGGGTCCCGAATTCGAGCGACCTCGAGACACAATCCCATTGGTATTCGAAGGCCGCACCCGGGGCCTTCGATCGCAATGAATTTCTTCCTCTTGGGCCTAAAAAGCAACATGCCAGCTACGGCGCATAGAGCCCAGTGTCCAGCCGGGATTTTGTGCAGCTTATGTCTGCTTTTGTCCATTGGGGTTGTCCATTTCATCTGCGGCCCTTTCTGGTATCTTTTTCTTCGGCGGCACAAGCTTGTGCCGCACCAGGGTGCAAAGATGTGGCATGTGACAAACCCCCCATTTTGGTTTTCTTGATGCGTCTTGGGCAGCGCAAGGTAAGTGCTCGTGCTTAGCACTGGGCCCCTCAAAGAATGTCGATTCTCAAAGTTGCTTTCGGATCCCGCCGGTCTTCCTGGACCCCCAAGCCTCGTTCTTCTGCCGTTGTACCCCCTTGTGGGTCACAGGCAGAAGAAATTGGCTTTTGGGGGGTCCAGGTTCCTTAAAACCACCATGCAGCTCAGCCCCCGAGTTTCTGGACTTCGTACTTGTTGGGAAGAAGTTGTCAGGGGCAAATACACAATGTGGACTTGTTTGGGCAATCTAAGCCTCACGTGCAACCAGCGCGAATCGACCTTTGAACCTTTTGATTTTCCTGTTTTGGTCCACTCTTTCCTTGGTGGTTCCCAGCCATCCCCTTGGCTTTTTAGCTTTTTAGTGTTTAGTGAGGTTTCCATTTAGCCCACCAAAAGTGAAACTTTTAGCAGGGGAGGGCAGTCCAGTTTTGAGAATGTCTTACGGAAATGGACCCGGTGGTACCGCTGCTTGCCATGTTTTTGTTTTTCCCGGCCAGGTGGATGTTAGCGCGGACGCTCGCCTGCAAGCGAAGGTGTATACAGTTCCAACTATGTACTCTTGAAGTCTTTTCTGCCGATTTTATGCTTACCATGATAGAGGTATAGTTACTAGATCCCGTAATTCAGCTTCTGGAATTGTAGAGAATCTGTGGTTTTTTAGGGTTCACTCTCGTGGTGTTCTTGATTTCCATTTCTGGGTTTGCTCAAGAGTGGCGATGGTTTCAATGGAAGCCAGTAGTAGGTTGATCAACTTTTGAAGGGGAAGTCCATTGACCTCCTGATTCTGGCCGTGAATTTTTCAGAAGCAAGACCTGAGCAGTTTCATGCTGTCCGAGGGTTCGCATAGACCAGAGTCAAAGATGGCAAGCTGTTGGTTCTTGCCGAGGGCCCCAATTGATTGCCCGGGTAGACAGTCGGATCTCCGCCGGTTTGATTTGCAGGGTTTTGGGGGGGCCATTTGAGTATCGGGTTTTGACTGTTCAGGTGGCGCGTGGTTTCAAACAAGTCTCAACTTACGGGCACCCGCAATTGGGTGGTTCTTCTTTTTGCCCTCTACCTGGACCGAGGTAAAACATGGTAAAACTGTTTCACTGAAGAACGAACAAATACATATATATATATGTATATATTTATTTATGTATTTATTTATTTATTTATTTATATGTGTATTTGGGTCTGGGTCAGAATGAAACCACCAGGGGTTGGACCGCAAGTGTTAGTCCTTGGTTACCCATTTGCCGATCAACCCATTTCGGGGAATTGAAGCCCTGGTTCTTGAGGACAAGTGCGGTTCACCCCTCCGGCACACCACACCGGGCTCCAAACCAGCCTTTTCGAGGGAAGCTGATCTGTGTCAAATTCTGTTTCGCAAAGCAGCAGCTGGAAATTCCTCCTTTGAGGTTCCCTTGTGGCCGACCTGAAGGGCTTCCCATTTTGGGGATCCGCCCATTTTTCTTGCTGGTGCGATAGGGGGTGAGAAGTGGAATGAACCCTGGCTTTGGTCCCCTTTAAGGAAACCACCAGTTGGATGGTTTTCTTGGGCTCAAACTCCATTTCTCATTCCCTGCCTCTCGCACCAGCAAGTTTATTCACTTGTTGGGTTTAGTTGCCATTTTAGTGGTAAACAAATACATAGCTACTTCTTGTTGGCCAATTGCACCAGCAAGAAAAAAATGGGGTACCCCTTTTTTGACCACAGCCAGATTTGTCGTTTCGGAGGACATCCGACGGCTCAGCCAGGCCGTCCGAGGGTCCAAAGATTTTCTGTGTTTTCGGGCGGGCGAGCACGAGGGGTGTTTGGGGAGGCTTCCTCGGACCGTCTCTGGGGTGTCTAATGGAGGGGTCGGGTCTTCCATTGAAAGCCCCAGGATACGTGGGTAAGGGGAATCGATTTCAAAATGGGAAGCCAACCTGGAAGCAAACAAGAGAATGTTGGCTTCGATGCTTCCCATTTTGCTTCCTGAAGTAGTGCGTCCAGGGAGAGAAGCAAACAGATGGGTGGGATTGTTCCATTCCGGGACTCCGGACATGTCCATTTGAGAACCAACCAGTTAGCAAGCAGACAGTTTAACCTGAGAACCAGCAAGACTTAGTAGCGGGCGAGTCGACCGGATCTGACCTTTTTCCTGATTGGGGCCAGAGATGGCTTCTGGTTACCCATCATAAAGTGGTGAAACGCTGAAAGGAAGCACCAGGTTATGTTGCCTACCCTCAGTTTGACTGCCAGCGCCATTTTGCTCTGTGGACTAGCCCGACAGAAAAGTAGCAATATTGGTTATGTTGGCGGCACCATGCACAGCTCTCATGTTCAAGCTTGGCCGAAAGATGACCCAGCAAGAGTTCCTCCAGCACTTCAACAAGTTGTACGGCTACGACTCTCAGTTGTTCAGTGGCACCCTTTTTCCTTTTTTTTTTTTTCCAGTGGCTGCCTCACTAAAAATGATCTTCCCCAAAAAGGGTTCCCTTTTTTTTCTCCAGGGTCACTGAACAACTGAGGACTTCTCCACGAATTGCCCCTACAACTTTGTTCACCTCCCTTGGTCTACGCTGGCCATCGTGAACTTCCTGGACGAGGAGGCCTGTGCGGCGTGCTGGCTTCGGACCAAAAAGCTCATGGTGACGGGAAGCTGGACTGCTGTTGGGTAACGGATCTTTAGACTTGAACTTTTTGGTTGAAATCAAGTTGTGTTTTCCACTAAGCCCCCAAGAAGTGGAAAAACAACAACTTTTTGCAGGGGGGGTCCTTGCAGCAAGGAAAGATGAAGGGCGTACGACGGGCCACCCACCACGGCCTGGAGAGCAATTTGGTGGACTACCTCTCGCGAGCCAAAGGCAGCGATCGAATCGCCAAGACGCGGCCTTTGGTCTTTGACCGGGGGATCTGGATCTCCTTGGCTCAGGCGTGCCACATGCTTGGGCCAGACTTGTGCACCCCACCCAACTTCCGCCAGATTCACTTAGACCTTCACTCAATGTCTCAGACGGAGGCCTGGCACTACCTCGAGCAGATGACGGGCACGCAGATCCTGATCGACCTTTGAGCTGGCCAGCGAGGTGAAACTTTTCGCTTCCAGCAATGGATGGGGGGCAAAGTGTAACCCTCTCATTCCGGGCAAAGTCCAACCCTTCAGAGCAAATAGCGATTCGCTTCTTTGGCAGCAACCGTGCGCAAGGGTTCAAATCTCAAGCGCTATCAATGTTGCTGCCAAGAAAGCCTCCTCAGGAAAAGCCGCTTCAAGAAAAGCCGCTCCGGCTTGCAACATCAACAAGGATACCAAGCTAAATGATCCTTTTTTCAAGCCAGTGGGCTTCTTCTGGGTGGCTAAGTTGTTCCCGCCAAGCCGCCAGAGGAATTGGCTTCTTCCAACCAGGTCGCAAATCGAACTGGAAAGGCCGAACAAAGCAAGCGCAGTCTGAGAAGTCATCCAAGATGTCGCGAGCTACTAATTGTGCCACGTATTTAGGCACAACGCGCTTGGATGGTGTTTAAACATGCCAACAAGAACTTCACGTTGTGAAAACAACTCGCCCCGCAATGTGATTCCATCAGTTTGTTCAGCGAGTGCTCCGGAGATCGTTTGTTTCACGCACATCGTGGTGTTGGAGGTTGGATCCAGTTCTGGGAGCGGACGTTGTCGAAGTCAATGGCGAGGAGTTTGTTTCCCCCCGCGCACGGACAGGCATGCGGAACCTCTTTTTTTTTTAGAAAAAAGCAACACAGGTCGAAGTGTTTGGGAGGTCAAGGTGCTGCTGAAGTGTCATGTGGCAAACGCCTTGGGGAGAAAATCGTGTCTGAAACTTGTCATGAATGAAGTGTATTGAGATGAGCATTGCTTCAGCCCAAGCTGCAGCCAAACAGGATGCGGGATGCGCCGTTGCTCAAACATATAGTAGGCAGTGGCTTTGCTTGTTGTTTGGGGACAAGTAAATGAAATCAGCAGGCCATCTAGCCCCACATCAGCTAGCAAGCGAGCAAATGGGAGGTTTCCTTAGCTGAGTCCCAGGCTGCCCCGTGCACCTTAGGCGTTCTGGTTCGGCATCCCGGCTTCCCGTGTTCAGGGCACGTTTCGCGAAGAAAGGCCTCCGCATCCGTCAAGACTTTCAGTTCCCTCGGGGCAGCCCTCCAGGGAACTGGCTTTGGCGCAGCGTCTTGCGGCTTCCGAATGTACAGGGCGCCAGGGCTGAATCAGCTTCGCTTGGACAGGTGGGTGGGGCTGACTTCATGTGCCCATGAGGCTTCAGTGGGCAAGCCATGAGCCAAAGCGAGGTGGATGCTTTTTGGCTCGCCAGTGGGGAGAACAATTACTGACCCTATTTGGCACGCAATGCTTCGTCACAGCCCATCGCTGCCAGGCATTCACGGCTGGAGCGATACTGGTGTGGCCACTTCTTCTCAGCTCTCATTTTTGCCCTTGGGATTTCAAGCTGCCCAACCTGGTTATTGAATGGCGCAAGCCTTTCGGGATGGTTCTGCGCCGACCTCCAGGCCTGCACATATCTTACTTGCATTGGTAATTGAAAAAGTTGTTGGCTGCAAGGCCTGCCCTTTGTAGTGCAATAAGCTTCATGCCCTTCGCTCTTGGCAGCCTTCGGTGCCAACCTTTGTCTCTTCACGCGTCATGACGGGATGTCCTGAGTGCCCTAGCGGCATTCGCATCTGCGAGGAGGGAGCAAACGGCATGGAGATGAAGCCCCTTTTGGGGCAAATGAGGTGTGGGCCAAAAGCGGGCCAAATGCCGTGGGCCACTGACCTTGTGCCTGTCGCTGCTTGTCGTATATCTGTCCCCTAGGTGACAATGTCACCGGCTGTTGCTTATGGCTCTTTGGGTCGATCAACGGCTTTGCGGGTAGAGGCGGTGTCCTTTACACCTGATGTTGAGGGGTGCTCAGCTACGGCATGTCTCGTTAGCCACAGTAGTACGCAAATCAACAGGGAGGTTTCCACGCACCAATAAGTTTACAAAGGGCTCAGTACCGGATGCCAGTTCAAAGCAGGAGGGGCGCGGATTTCTTAAATAGGCCCACATCACCCTGCTCGACTGCCGCGCGCGACACAGAAGCTTCGTGTGAGTACATGTTGCACAAAAAAACCTGGCTTTCACCCAAGCGCATGCGTTGCAGCAGGAGGTGTTTTCTTTGCAGACCCTCCCCGGATGTCCCCCAGGACTCTGTGAGTCACACCTTCGATGGCAGAAGCTGAGCGGCAACGCGTGGGAAGACTAGATTCCTTTGGGGGGCCTCCATGACTTCTGGAAAGAGAAGTCAGCACATTCCAACTCCCCTCTTCGTGCTTGTTTGGGGCCTTGGAAGATCAAAGAGTGCAGCCATGGCTAGCTATAGCTTGCGTGGTTTTTTACAAACAAGCAGGACGCTTTGGAGTCAATTTTTGAAGCAGGCTAATATATATTGATGCCTTCGGGCATCCCATGGATCAGCCGGGCGGGCGTTCGCATGTTCGCGATCCGCCGGCTGGCGTGTCAGGCCGCCAGACCGAAAAACATCGTTCAGAGTCGGACTGACTGAGCCTGAGCGAGCATGTCTGGACGAATCTGTTCGCAAACAGCATAGGTCCGCAAACAGACTGCCAAAATTTATCCCGGCAGATATCGCGGGGGTTTCCTTGTTTGGCGAGATGGACAGGAGCGGAGGGACGCCTTGCGCGGAGCGATATTGTCGTTTGTGCGACAAGGTGACAATGTAGTATGGCTTCACCATGTTTCAGACGTTGATTCATTTGACAATGTTGCCCATGAGAGACTGGACTGTGTGTTTGCAAACAAGCAGGGCGGCGCTTCGGAGTCTGATTGGAGCCATCGCGGCATCCCAGGTTCAGCCGGACGGGCAAGGTGTTTTTCGTTATCCGCTTCCGTTTTTTGCCATCCGAGAAACATTGAGCAAAACTCGGGCTGATAATTTGGCGGATTCAGCAAGCATATCCTGACGAGAGGGTCTGCCGGTGGATCAAAAACTTTAACTGAACTTGGTGAGCATTCGCAGAGCTCGCAGCACCCAGCAATTGTGACAATGTGGTACGCGTAATTTGTGTATTTCACTATGTTTCAGACGTTGACTCATCATTTGGGCGCCCATTTGACAATGTTGCCCATCAGCGAATGTATGTTTTTTACAAACAAGCAGGTCGCTTCGGAGTCGCTTCTTGAATCCCGGCGGGTGATTGTTCGCGATCCGCTGGCGGGCCTCGGCCGCCAGACCGCGAATCGTTCAGAGTTCAGGATGAGAATTTTGCGGATTCAGCGAGCATTTCCTGACGAAATGGTCCGCCAGTGAACCCATTCGTTTACCAGATATGGTGAGCGCTCGCAGAGCTGCAGCACCCAGCAATCTCCGGCCTCTTTGTGCGTTGATGCCCTTAACTTATGCCATATCCTTTGGAAAACCCATGCCCTTGTTGCTTGAACACGAACACCGAGTCAATGAAGGCCCATTGAAATCTGTACACAAACATCGGAATGCGCCTTTGCTCACCAATGCTACTGCATGCTGAGGCAGAACAATCCAGTCATATAACTACCAGGCAGACGCGCGTGAGATACGCCGTCCAGCCTTTTGTGGGCGATCCATTGCTTTCAACACTCGATGCGACTCCGCCAGCGAAAAGGGTACTGTTTCTGCGGAGATGGTAGTGCCCTCCAACCCCTTTTTCTTTCCCTACAAACGACTACCAAAGAAAAGGGTACCCTTACTCGAACCTCTCTACTGCGTACTACTGGAGGACTTCGGAACCTTGCTGGGAACATGGAAAGAGGTCGAAAACCCCGCTTCCTTACGGCAATTCGATTTCTGACGCGAGGTGAGAAATCGGAAAGAGAAGCCTCAAAGTAGGTGTTGTTTGTGCTAAAAAACAACCCCCAAGGAAGGCACTGATCCTCAAGAAGACCAGCCAGCTGAAGAACGACCCCGCAAAAATGGACCTAGCTTCCATTAGTTGGCCATTCGGGGGAGCTTTTGTTGGCTGTTAGTCCTGCTGGTTCTCTCATTCCCCACAAACCGTTCCGTTCTTCGTGATCCCGAGCCGGTTCATTGTCCAGCAAGTAGCTTCAGGGAGTGTAAGCCCAGAAGTCCAGCAAAAAAGAGGACCTCATGTTTCCGCGCCCAGGAGTGCAAATGAAGAAAAACAAAAGGCACCCCGCCCCAGCCGAAGACGAGCTTTCCGAAGACGGAGCTTTCCCTTCCGCTCGGGGCAAGCTCTCCCAGGAGTGGCGCTTGCGGCGCGGGAGCTTCCAAGGCTCTTTGAAGAGCCCCGAGCAGCTGTCAGCTGGACTGCGATTGGGCAACGGATCTGACTTTGACTTTTTGGTTGAAATCAAGGTGGGTTTTTCCACTAAGCCCCCAAAAAGTGGTCAACTTTTTGCAGTCAACAGCAACCAAGTCAGGGGCCTCGGTCCGATGTTTTGTTTTTTGGGATCCATTGAAAGCGCCTGTCTCCATGACCGTTGGTCATGGCCCCTTGGTTTTGGGTGATGAATCTTCTTTGTGTTAAGGGTCCTGCCGACTCTAGGCAGCCGCCGGAAAGAAAAACGTCCGGTGGCCTGTTTGGCATTTGGCGTTTCATGAATGAATTTGTGTTGTTTTTTCGTGGTTTTGAATGGAAAGCAACAGGACATCACCCATTTGAGTGACCTGCAAAGATGGCGGTTTTGGTCGAAACCACCAGGCAATTGATCAACTATTGAAGGGGAATCCTGCGGATTTCACTTCTTGACCCTTGAAGCATCCATAGCCTCGGAGGTTTTTGTGTGGTGTTTGTAGGGTAGCGTGTTTTTTGTGCAAGCCCAGGGACTTACAAGAACCCTGGTATTTTTTTTCGTATAAGCCCTTATGTAGTGGTTCCCCCACAACATAACAGACAGGGTGCCTCCCCAAAAGGAGCCACACACAAAAAGGTGTTTTCGCTTTTGACACTTGGAGATATACCCACCCAAAATATGTTGCCCTTCTTATAGCCACCAAGATATGTGCATTGTTTTTGCGTCGCAAAAATTGGACTGGAAAGTTATATATGTCTTTGTTGCCTTATGTCCAATCTAGCTCAAAATACTAAAGGCCCACAAAGCAAGTTTGCTTCAAGCAAAACATGTAGCATCCATAGCTCAAAAACACCCCCCCGGGACCTGGAGAAATAGCTAGTCGTATACAAACAAACACTGCAAGTTTGTCTGTTAAGTCGGGGTCCAGCTCTATTTCCCCTTAAGGCTGTTTTAAAACCATCACCTTTTTGGGCCCAAGGTGAGTGTCCCTTGGTGGGGGAGATGTGTTGAGTTGGGAAGTATAGGGAGGTCTGTTTGAAAGTCTGTAGTAAATGAAAACCCCACGAAAAAAAAAAAAAAAAAAAATCTCTTGCCCAGTGCGGCGGCCGCCCGTGCCGGCGACGCGGAGCAACTGCGGGCGCTGCTGGGCCGCGGCTTCGGCGCGGCGGTTTCGGCGGTGTGCAAGGCTCGGGGGGAGTTTGACTCAACCCAGCCTGAGGTTACCAGGGCTTGCGAGGATTCCTTTTGCTTAAGAATACGCTGGTTTTTTGGTTTTCTTTTCCCCTGTCTTCCCCTGTTGGTTTTAACGGGAACCTATTACTACCGATTTGTTTTTCCACGCGGCTTGAGCAAATGGAAGGAAACACGCTTGAGGCTACCCAGTGCTTCCTGGCGTTTCGCCACTATAGTCTCACTCCCAAGTTCCGACTTGCGCCACTTTTTGGATTTGGATGATGCTAAATAGAAAGTTCAGACTTGTTTTGGCCAATCCACGCAAGAAGTGAGTAGTGGGTTTACCCCCTCCAGGTTTTACATGATGGTTTGCGCTGGTTACCGGAAGCACTGGGTTACTCTCTTTCCAACAAGGGAAGCGAAGTTCCCGTGTCTTCCGTAGTCTTCCAGCACCCTCCTGTCAGCTTCCGTGATTGTTGGAGGAATGGTATTTCCGGGCTCGTCTCCAAGAACACACATGGTTTTTAGGGTAAGCTAAATACAAAACAGTATCTGAGACACTTACTTTCTGTGTACCCAGGTGTGGGCCAAGCCAATAAATGAGCCACCGGCAAAACCAACATGTGCTTGCTGTCACTGGGTCATGAACCCTTTGAAATTTGAAAAGGAAGGCTAACAATCATGATACGGGTTCGTATCCCACATAAGGAGCTTTGCTCATGGGTATGAGCCACAAGATGATGCTGGTAGGCTTCCCTTTAGACCAAGAGAGCTGTTTTTGTTTGGTTCAGCAAGCCGCAACCCCCTAAATCTTGTTCTTTACCTCATATGTTTTATGCAGCCCACCAGGGGTGGGTGTGTTTGTCGACTTTTCCATGCGCCTATTCAACCGCCACTTTTCTGTCCAGCGCAGGGCGAGTCGCAAGATTCTGGATTCTTGAAGCTCAATCCTTGGTCGTGTTTCCCGTTAAGTGGTGTCCCACTACAAATTGCGGTTTGGGTCCTCCCCGTTTGTTTCAGGAACGCAAAGAATGAACTCCTTGATTTTCGCTGCTGTGGGTTGGATCTTGGAATCCTCAACCTTTCTGGAAAATGCGTTGCCCACGCAACAAAAGCAAGTCCATCGTCGTGACCGGGGGAGCACTCGCCAACATCTTTGCCCAACCGGGATTTCGCCGTCTGCCAGGACGGGCAGACGGCTTCTCGGCAAGCATACGAGCCTTCGGCGCTTTTTTTGGTTGAGTGCTTAACTGGCTAGGTCCCCCAGTGCCGTTCTCTACTCCTTTTTTGGGGAGGGACGCGAAATCCGGAACAGAGTCAGCCAAGTTTGGGGAAAGAACCCGAATTCCCTTACTTTGGTCTTATTGGGAGGCCACAAAAGGTTCACCACATGACCTTCATATAGCCTTTAACTACTTGATTCCAATAAGTGCTTCAGACGCAGCACAACTTGAATTGGCTGTCCTTGGCATCCCATGAATACCAACAAGATCAAAAGTTGAATGCCAGACGCGACGAAGATGCCTTTCAGTGCGATGGGGAAAACGTGTTTTTGTTTGCTGTGCCATAGCAGCAAAAAATACCGATGTGCCCAAGGGCCATATGGGTGGCTCGCCTTCTTGGGGGGGGAACCCCAAAAATGGCGATGTTCCTGTTGGTTCCCTTTAAGACCTACCAAAAGGGGTACCAACTCAAAAACAGGTGAGCCAACAATAATTAGTTCTGAGCTCGCCCCGCAGAGACCTCCAGTGCTGCTCTTGACCAAAAACTCGGCGCGTTCCCCATGATCAGGGGCCATGGGTCATCAATTCCGCCATCCAAGGGTCCCACCTTTGGTTCCAGCCCAGGGCTGGTTTCCCAACCAAGGCGCCCAGTATTCCCACAACGCTTCTTGACTAGGTCCTCGGGTAGTGCCCTTTTACTCTTTTTGTTGGGGGGAGGGTTCAATTCCCTACTAAAACCGACAAAGCCGAAAAAAGAAACGCTACCCCAAACCCTATAGGCTCTCAAATCTGGAGGACCTCGCCAAACAAGGCGCCCTGCATTCCCACAACGTTACGAGGGAGCTCGGGGGTTGAGGTCGGACTTGGTATGCCCTGTAGACAGAGATGGTGTCACGTCTAGAGGAGTCTCAAGATGGCAGTCTTCCGCTTTCTTGGCGAATTCGCCATCCTCTTAGCCTTTTGCTTTTTAGTCTTTAGTGGGGGTGGTTTCTTTAACCCACTAAAAGTTATTCACTTTTAGCAGGGGATAGGGCAGTCTTCCTTCCTGTGTTCCCTAGCCAACCCAGAAAGGGCGCTTTCAACGCATGACACGCCCGTGTCCCGCTCAAGTTTCACGGCCCAGACTACGCTGGACCCTCTCGGGGATGGCCAGTTCGGCCAGTGTCCCTTAAGCAAAGTCTTCCTTTCCTGAACTGGGTGTGGCTCAAAATTAAGCAGGAGGGGTGACGCGATTTTGGTCCATTTTAACCCACTTACCAGGGCAACCCATTTTGGAATTCCGGGTTTTTGAGCCAAAGCCAGCTTTGGGAAGCTGTGGCACTGACACAGATGTTTGCGGTGTTTCTAGCCTCTCGGTGCTTCTGTGGTCAGAAGTGCGAAAATCTCGGGATGGGTGTTGTGGGGGTCTGGCGGCCAGAAACCCGCAGGCCCCAAACAAAATGTTACTTTGGGCCCTTCCACAAGGCGTTTAGGCGAGCTCGTGACCTTCCATGCGTCATGAGCTATTGCAAGGGCCGAGTTATGCCCATGGCTGTTGTTGGGAAACATTTACATTTTTACTTGTGGTGGTGTAGCGGGAAATCCCCACTTAACTGCTATTTTTTTGTTTTTTGCTCCCCTTCCAACGTCAACCAAGTGGCAAGGGGAGCCGTTGAACATAGTAGTGACAACCAGTATAGCACCAAGAAGGCCCATGACGGCCCAGCGCTACAATCCTTGCACGTCTCCAGGGGTTTAAATATTTGCTCACTGGGCGAAAGTTTGCATTGCTCCTTTTAACTCGCCAAAGGCAGTTGAACTCACTCAGTCCGAAGTCTGGCGAAGTTCTGAAGGTGATTTCCTGGTTTTTCTCGGTTGGGCTGGGGACACCACCTGGCCTTATTGCCTATAAAAGCAACTAAAAAGAACGCGGTGGCTTGGGAGGGGGGGGGAAGGTTTTGAGCAATTTCGGCGCGAAGTCAATACAAAGAGTGCAGTGATGTCGTATTGTTATTGTTCCTGAAGGCCCTTTAACGCAAAGAGCGCAACTGTTTCCTACCACCAGGGGGGTGGGTTTTTCTTTTTTGATGTACCACCCTCACACAATTCCCAACAGGGGGTGTTGTTGCAAACCACAATTATGGTGTAGAAGGTCTTTTTCAGATCATTTTCCCACCCACCTCTTCCAACCCCCTTAAAGCCAACTTAAGCACTAAGAAGTGCCACTTTTGCCCTCAGACCCACTGGGGTCTGGATATAGGTTCGTGCACCTGGACTTTAAACTCAGTTGTTCAAAGCGAATCGACCTTGATGGTATTTTGAGGGTGGTAGTTTCACTCGGACCTGACATGATTTGGTGTTCCCTTTTTGGCCACCATTTTTATGGCAGGCCAAAAGGTGATCACCCTTTGTATCTAGGCCCTTGTGCCGCAGACCCTCGAAATACCTTCTTGTTTTGATGTATTCCATTTGCTTAAGAATATGTTGCTGTTTCCCTCGTTGGTTTTGAAAGGATTTTATCACTACTGGACATTTGTTCACATTTCCAGGGGACGCAACAGTTTTAAATGGAGGAGGTTGAAGGTATTTTGAGGGTCCAGGTATCTGGAAAACGGTCTGGATGTGGATTTCACCTGTTCTTTTCCCCTGCTGGTCCTTTCTTAGTGATCTTTTAGTATCTTTTGGTACGCTTTTAATATGCTACACCTCCATTTGCTTAAGAAACTGTTATATTTTCCCTTGTTGGTTTTAAAACGGATCCATCACTACTGGAATAATATGTTTATGTTTTCCTGGGGCCTTAACTAAATGGAAGTACAGCTTGGTGGACCCACAGATTCGGATTCCGCATCCAAGCCGTTTCTACTAGTTCCCAGTTGTTCCGACCTCTCACCCCTGTTTTTGGGAGGAACCCCCCCCTACTACAACCGACACCTTACCTCTTAAAAACACAACTTTTCTCAACTTTTTGGGTAACATGGGCTATATGTTTGTAAAAGATGAAAACCTCCCCAGGGCAAAAGGAGTTTTAAGGGGTAAGACACAGAAAAGGTTGGTACCAGCTTATGCTAAGCTCTCAAATCTGGAGGGCCTAGGGTTGGATGCGATTCAAGCCGCTGAAGTACGGCTTCTCCTTGGGGCTTCTCATGGCTGGCCATGCTCAGTCGTTCAAATCTGGGCCTAGTTGAGATGGCTAACTTCTCGAAGCTGAGGCCCAGGGGTTCAAGTCCAGAGGTAGCCATCTAGCTCCCTTCATTTGCTTAAGTTCTTCTTCTTTTTTCCCCCTTGGTGGTTCTAAAAGGAATTCATCACGACTGGATTTTGTTTCTTCCCTTGTTGGTTTTAAAAGGAACTCATCACTACTGGACACCACTTCTTATCTCCTTTCGTTTCTTCCTGAAGAACCAACTGGGGCCGTTGCCCCTTCATAGGGCCCCGGATGGACGAATTCCTGCACCACCTAAGAAACCTTGGCAATGATGATTCCCCTGTAAATACCAACAAACAATGGCTTCCCCATGGTTTCTTGGGTGGTGCGAAATGGATTTTGCAACCATCCACAGTAGGGCCCCGATGCTTCGGGGTTCCGAAAACCAAAAACTCCGGCCAGGCGCTCAGCGCGGCGTGCGCCGCGGGGAAGGCGGAGTGCGCGGCGCTGCTCCTGGCCTCCCGTGCCGCGGTGAACTCCAGGCGCTGGGGGTTGGTTGGTGGGTGGCTGGCTGGCTGGCTGGCTGGTTGGTTGGCTGGCTGGCTGGCTGGTTGGCTGGTTGGCTGGCTGGCTGGTTGGCTGGTTGGTTGGTTGGCTGGCTGGTGGGTTGGTTTTTTGTCTTTTTCTTCCTTGTTTTGTTGTTGTTCTTTTGTTTTTTTTTGTTTTGTTTTTGGTTGGGGGGGGATCGATGGGCGAATCGATGGGCCGATTTTCGGGTTGGCCGATGGGACCGCGGCGCGGCAAGCCGCCCGGCCACCCGGCCACCCTACTTGACTGCTACATGGTTGTTGTTGGGAAACATCTCTAGCATTTTTGCTTCTTGTGGTTTAGTGGTTGAAATCCAACCACACGACTGCTGAAACTTACTTTTTGGCTCCCGGTCCAACGTCAACCAAGTCTAGTGGGTTGGATCTTTGTTTTTTATTTATGTTTTTTTTTGGGGGGAAATCAAGGAGTTTTCCACTCAACCTCAAAAAGTTGTCAACTTTTTGCAGGGGGGTCAACAGCAACCAAGCCTGGTAAACCCAGATCTCTGGTCACGGCTCAAAGCTTAACTTGTGGGTGACATCCGGAAATCCCGCCACTCAACACTACAAAGCCAAAGAGCTACTGTGGATGGTTACGAAATCCACTTCGCACCACCATTCAGAAACCCTGGAATGTTGATGCCCCTGTAAATACCAACAAAGAATGGTGTCTCATGGTTGCTTCGCAGTGGTTCCCAGTTGAGTTTCGAAACCCACCATACCGCCATAAGGTTCATAAGGTTCATAAGGTCATTGGTTGACGAGCCGGCAGTCTCTTAGGGTGGCTTGGGTATTTCATCAAGATGGTTTGACCTCCTATTTTGCGTTCCTAGCTGTTTTGCTTTTTAGTGTTGGGTGGTTGGATTTCCATTTCACCAACAAGTTCAACTTCGGAGCCCTGACCAGAGATCTGGGTTTAACTTGCTGGTTCCCAGCAGCCCCAATCTATGGTTTCCTTCAAGGGGATCCCGAAACGGTTGATGCCCAGCCCCCTGGCTTATTCCCTACTTACTGAGCACCAGCATGGTCTTACGGATCTTTGGACATCTCTTGTGTACCACGTTTTTCAGGCTCCCTGGAGTCTCCATGACCCTAAAAAAAAATAGGTCCATGACCACATTATTTAGGGTGAGCCCATTTTTGAGTCGGGTCATGGAGACTCTATTTGGTCATCTGAATTTGTAGGGCGCGCCCGGACGTTTCGTCGCCAGTTGCCGCGCCGCGTGCGGCGACGGCAAGACCACGCCGCTGCATCTGGCAGCGGAGCTGGGCCACGGCAAGACGCCCGGCGCGGTTTTTTGTCTCAGTGGCCCCAAGCGAATCGGCCTTTTGACCCTTTTGGGTTCCCCTTCTTGGCCCATGTGTCGTCATGGCCTCTATTGTTCACCTCTTTTTTCTTTTTTTTTCCGGCCAAAATGTTTGGGGCAGAGTAGCTGACAACATCATTGCTAGTCCACGATTGGCTTGCGGAGAGCATGGGGGACAAATGTCCAACAACGAGCAGGAGGAGTTTGTTGTTTGTTTGTGTGTGTGTGTTTTCGGTGTTTTCTGTATTTGTGTGGTATGTGTGTGTGTGTGTGCGTTTGCGTGTGCGTGTGCGTGTGCGTGTGCGTGTGCGTGTGCGTGTGCGTGTGCGTGTGCGTGTGCGTGTGCGTGTGCGTGTGCGTGTGCGTGTGCGTGTGCGTGTGCGTGTGCGCGTGTGTGCGCGTGCGCGTCGTGCGCAGTGCGTGCGTGCGTGCGTGCGCGTGCGTGCGTGCGTGCGTGCGTGCGTGCGTGCGTGCGTGCGTGCGTGCGTGCGTGCGTGCGTGTGCGTGCGTGCGTGCGTGCGTGCGTGCGTGCGTGGGTGGGTGGGTGGGTGGGTGGGTGGGTGTGTGTGTGTGTGTGTGTGTTTGTGTGGTTGTGTGGTTGTGTGGTTGTGTGGTTGTGTGGTTGTGTGGTTGTGTGAGTGTGTGTGTGTGTGCGTGTGTCCTTGTTTGACATTGACTGACTGTTTTGCAGTTTGTCTGTGTGTTGATTTCTGCGTTCCTTAAAACGCCTTATTCTTGGGAAAACTTCCTGCAAACATTCCGTGACCCAACAATAAGGTTTGACTTTGGCATCCCAGAAATAAACCACCCGGTGAATCCCGGGTTTCCATGGCAAATGTACAGGTTTGGAGCTACTAACGGATTAAGGTTCCCACCAAGCCAGGCGTCTGTTTGGATGGTGCTTGGAAGTCTTTGCCAATCCCCACACCTACTCCCCCCCCCCCGGTTTCCCTCCTGTCCCCCCAGGCTGGGGTTAAAGGGATCTTGGCCACTGTGGATGGTTACGAAATCCACTTCGCACCACCTAAGAAACCCTGAAATGTTGATTATCCTGTAAATACCAACAAATAATGGTGTCAAATATGGTTTCTCAGGTGGTGCGAAATGTATTTCAGAGCCATCCACAGTATGACCCGCCCTTTTTTTGAGGCGCTCGCCCTAAGGATATGCATGTCGCTCCTGGCAGCACGAGCTGATCCCCACTGCCCCAGCAGCGACGGGCGAACGCCCGCGGCCTACGCCTCGAACAACGAGGCCATAGAAGGATGAAATACAACCTGGGTGTCTTTTTTGGGTTGGGTACCCCCGTTTCTTGGTTTGCAAATCTCAACCAAAAGGAACACCTACGATTTAAGGGTCCCCTAAAACAACCACAGTGCTCTCTTTAGTTTCCTGTAGGACTTCTTGGCAGTTTCCTGTAGGTTTTCCCTTGTATTCCGTAGTTTTCTCCGATGGTAAATTTAGCTGCTCTTTCTTCAGCTTGCGGAGAAGTTTCCCTTGAACATCAGCCACCAAAGCTGGTGTGAGCACTTTCGCCCATGTCCACCGGAGACTTTTGAGAGATCCCCGGTGCCCTTTTACCCTTTTTTTGGGGGAGGGTTCCCTACTCAAATAGACAAAACCGAAAAGAGCAGTTACCAACTTATTCTAACCTCTCTACTGAAAGACCTAGACAAATTATCACGTGTTTCTGTTCCTAGGGCCCCGCCTAGAAGTCGGAGATTGCCAGGCGCTTTGGCCCATCTTCGACGCTGCGGGCTGCGAGCGCATACCGTTCCCCTGGCTGAAGTTCTGAAAGGTTTGTTTTTTGGGGTATACGTCCATGCATGAAACCCCCCACCTCCATTTGCTGAAAGGAATATGTGTTAGTTTCCCTTGTTGGGTTCAAAAGGAATTCATCACTACTGGAAATATGTTTTAAACGATTGCCCAGTATAAACCCTTGTTTATGTGTTAAAAGCCGAAAGTTATGGTTACATCGTGGGCAAACCGATCGTCCGTTCTCAGTTGTCCAAGGCGAATCGATTTGGAATGACCTTTTGGCTTCCCCATTTTGGCTTCCCCACTTTTGGTCAAGGTCCCAAAAGGTGAACCTGTTACTTCCAGGTCCTTTGGGCAGGTGATCCACACTTGAACCCCTTGTTTGTGAGTTAGTTCTCTATTAGGCTTGGCCAAAATTATGGGGACACAGCCCCCAAAGGGTCCAACATTAGAATGGCCATGGGTGCATATATGGACTCTTGCAATCAGCCCTTGAATAAGGCCATAGGTTACTTGGCATGAACTTTGACTTCCCCCAAAAGGATGCGCCAGAGGGGCGTCAAACCCCTGTACAAACGAACAGATCAGGTGTTTTTTTGTTTGCCAGGCCAATTGATCAGTCCCCTTTTCTGGTTGACGGTCCAGGTTTTCCGGCAGTCTTCATACTGATGGAAGACATCCATTTCGCACCACTTTGAATCCGCTGAACCCAGAAAGGACCCACAGCCAAATTGCAGAACTATAGCTTCCATTTCCTGAGATAGTTATTCTCCCTTGATGGTTTCAAAGGGAATCGATTTCGATTTTGACCCATGGCCAAATTGTTTGAAGCCCTTCATCCCGCTGCAAGTTGAGGCAGGTCCGCGCCAGTGAGAGCCCGCCGGAGGCGCGAAGGGTTGCTCTGGTTTCGGGGGGGGGGGGGCTGGAGGGAGCCTGGTAGCCATAGGTGTCCTTTTTGGTTTGGTAGAAACATAGATGGCGATTCCTGGCTTACCTGGTGGTTTAATCATCTACCAGGGCCATCCATTTTCCACAAAGGACACCTATGCTGGTACCTCACTTGCCCCTCAGGGCGAAGCGACCTGATCTGAGCTTTTGCTTTCCCCTGGTTGGGTGCCTATTTTTCGTCTTGGCCCGAAAAAAAGGTAATTGCCTCTATTTATTTGTCCCTGAGGGCTAGCTGAGCAAGGGATCGATATTCCTGGCCCCCAAGTGGCAATTATAGAGAAGTCCTTTTGGTTGTGGTGCCATGACAACAGCCACCTTGGATTCCCTTGAGCGAGGTGTTCTGCGCCATCCTTTGTTTCGTGGGGCTCTCACTCCCTGAGTTCCAAAGCTTTTGTCCTGCATTTACTGAAGTGATATTGTTTCTTCCCTTGTTGGTTTTAAGAGGAATTCATCGCTACTGGCCATATTTTTCCTGGGGCCTGAACCACCAAATGGAAGTTGTCACTTTGTGGAAAGACCATTTGAGTGGCAAGCAAGTATTTAGTAGATGGTCCTGACCCCAAAAGAGCTCCACCTTGTCTACCTTTCGGGCTGCTATGCAACTCGGAACCAATGGAATGCATCAGGGTCAGGTTTTGCTTGGCGCTCATACAGCCAGTTAAAAGCTACACCTAGGTTCCCCAGCTAGGTGCCCTTTTACCACTTTTTTGGAGGGTTTCCCCACTAAAATAGACTACAAAAAAAAGGGGTACCCTTCTTCCAACCTCTCTACTGAAGGACCCAGACACGTTTTTTTCAAACACCCAGCCGGCAAATTGTGTGTTTCTGTGTGCGATTCTGCCTGCTAGCGACCCCGCGCAATTGGGTGACTTCCTTTCAGCTACTCCCTCCTGGCTCCGAAAACAGGCCAGAAATTCGATCGTTCCTCGAACACCAACATCAGGTAGCGCTGGATTGGTTGCTTGGATTGGTGGTTTGGTGACAGCCAGAAGGGGTCGGACAATTCCCAGACCATCCGTTGCCAACTCAAAATGGGCCAAATAGAGATCAACGGATTGTCTGGGATTTGTATGGATTCTTTCGGATGTCTGGGATTTGATCAACTCATGGATTGTTTGGAATTTGGCCGTGAGCAACACCAATGGCACCATTTTGGGGTAGGTGCGCCACCCATTTTGGAACCTATTTTAGTGGGGATTGGGATGTTCACTGGGGGTACGATTTGGATTTTGACCCATAGCCGCATTGGATCAACTTCCATTAGTTAAGAATATGTTATATTTCCCCCTGTTGATTTTAAAAGAAAAACCTATCACTACTGGATGTTTTTTTTCCCAGGGGACAAAAACGCAAATGGAGGTCAAACACACGACCCATCGTCACCCGCCCTTTGTCAGGACGCGGAGTGTTCCACGCCCGTGGCCTCAGTCGGCTCGAGGGACTGGGGGCTGGCTCACTCCTCAACGAGTCCCCGGGGACCCGTAGTCACGTTTTGGGTTTGGACCGTTTGAGTGACCATACAAAAACATGTGTTACCTATTTGTTCCTGGGGCCTTGAACGACTGTTTCAAAGCAGGTGCGGGCCGAAAAACCACTTCGGAGGCAAACGACCGGAACCGGATCGAAATCCCTAGCCTACGGGGTCTTGACTTTGCCAGGCCTGTCTACTTTCCATTCTTTCCAGTTGGTTAAGCCTGAAATGGCCGTGAGCATTCATGTGCACAATCTAGAATCGAGAAGCGACTGCTAAGCACAGTTATGACACTCTTCAGATCAGAGCATAATGAGTGTAGCTGCATGCATGTGTTCTTCACAGCCTTTGCCCAGTGCGCTTGGCTTGCTTTACAGACCTGTGCCTTTTCTCCCATGGAACCAAGCAGCAAACGACGCAGACGCAAATTTCTGTCCAGTCATGGTGTTAGCCTTGGTTTAGAACCTTCCTCATTATATGAAAGGGCACCCAAAAAAAAGGCTTGCTTTTGGGTGGCCGGACTCCTCGATTTTTTTGCGGGGGGAACATTGGATTTTCGGGGGGCAGTTTTTAGGCTCGTTTTCGGCCCGTTTTCTTCCGTTTTCGGCTCGTTTTCGGCCCGAAAACCTGTAATGATCCGGGGCTTGAAGCGGGGGCTCAGTGCCTGTTTTCGGGCCGAAACTGGCGATGGACAAAACCAGGAAACATCCAGAACCAGGCGTGCAACAACCAGAACCGTGCGTGCAACAACCAGAACCGTCCGTGCAAACGACTGTTTCTGAATTGATGGGTTTTCGGTTGCTTTTGGATGGGGCCATTGGGGCGACCGCTCCTTTTTACCAGCAGAAGCCTTCTTGTAAAGATTGGAAAGGGTTCACCTGAAAGACACCCATTGGGTGCGTGAGGGAAGAGTGATTTGACCCACAGCCAAAGCCGCTCAACTATAGTGGCTTTGGGGTGATAAACAATGTTCGTCGACCCCACATGCTGCTGATGCTGGCGGTACACCTATGTGGCCCTGCCGCGGAACCGAAGGGTCTTGAAAGTGTGCAATTCGCACAGCCCTTCTCCATGCCTTTCCCTTCTGCAAGAAAGCCTAGAAGAGAAAACAAAGGGATCAGTGCATTTCAGTCTGCTGTGGCACGCTTGAGACCCTGCGGGTTGGCCGGGCAGGGTTGGTGCCATTCTTGTAGAGACGCAAGTCCATCGAGGCTGAAAAGGATATGCCCTGCACAAAATACAGAAATTGGTGATCAGGCCAAACGGCCGGAACTGCAGCAAACGACCGGAAATGGATGTTCTTACGACTGTTTAAAAACGGATGTTTCGGGCTCCAGGTTGGGCCAATCCACTCGGTCGGAAGTGAGTATCAGGGGCTAACTAGGTAGTAGTGTTCTCCTCTAGTCATCACTGCCAATTTTTTGCACCGCGTTGGAGACGCTTGGGGCTGGGAGGGTCCCCCCAAACAGGCTTGCGTAGCAGCAAACCCGATGAATCAGTGTCTGGGGAAGTTTGGGAGTTATTGGTATGTGAATGCAACCGGCAATGCTGGCCATGAAACACGATTCCCAATAGATGGTGAAGTGTAGGTCGGTCCTTTTCTGAGTGCATCCCGATGTTTTCTTTGTGCAACAGGCACCAAAGAGACAACTACCATCAATACCTTTTCTGGCGTTTCTAATAATACGGAAGTGCGCCCCTAGAATGACCCTGTCATGTCTTGATGATCCCCGTCTTATGCACGGACAGAAGTGAGGGCGGTGCTCAGTCTAAGGCACCCATCCCTTTGTTCAGCAACCACCTATGTTTCCTGGGTTTTGTGCTATGCTCTGCAGAGAAGGTTGCATAGATGTCCTTTTGGTCAGTTTAGTTGAGAATAGATGTCACTGGTTCCGTCTGGTTCAGGTCATTTACCAATGTCTTGCGTTTCCAAAAGGGCACTTGTGTGGGTTACTGTTAGCATAATCAAATACCGCCAAATCAATTGTTTCCCTGTTTCTGCAAGCCGAGTGATTAAGCCTGAGCAGTATCTTGGATGCTATCGATTTGGATCTTTGACCTCTAACTGCTTGGGAGAATGGTTTCTTTTTTTTCCTCTTTAAGGGGCCGGGTCCCAACTTCAGGTTCCGGCGGTGAATTGGTGGGAGGGTTCCCCTTGTTTGGTGAGGAAGGGG